ACTTATAAGTGCTAATTATAAGTTTGAATAATGTGTCTATTATATAAACATTTAACAAATCTATTTACAATCCAATTTATATCTAAAAAACTTGATTTCATAAAAAAATAATCTTTGCGGGGCAATAAGGTACCGCAGCCTCGCTTTGGAGCGGGTGAAAGAGCGGGCGGATTTTTAGTCATTAAAACTTTGACGTAGTCGTGGTTGCCCGGAGGTTAAGAAGCCCGCTTCTCATGCATGAGGGTTTGGTTCGAAACCTGGCAAGTACCAATGTGACTTGCAAGGTTTTTCCGAGTTATATGTACTTTCTATGATTATTTAGACACCACTGACATACGGTGAAGGTAAACATCGTGAGGAAACCTGGACTTATAATTTCTAATTATAAGTTTGAAACCGTCTTCCCGCATTGAGCAAGCGTGGTGATTAATGCTCTAACCTTCTCCGTATGAGAAGAGGCCTTTGCTCAGCAGTGGGCACTTATAGGCTGTGATGATGATGATGACTAGCGACTCGCCCCTGTTTCGCGTTTTCTTTGCACATTGTATTGTACGCAAATTGTACGTATTAACAGATAAGTAAACATTTCTTAGTAAAGTCTTAATACAGGGATAAAATATGTGTAGGAATTACAATAGTTTTGACTAAGAAAATTTGCGACACGGTAACCTACTGCAATAAAAAAATAAACAAGTTTAGCATACAAAGATAAGTTTACAACCTTAACCTCCTTGGATGTAACTTAAAAAAATAACACAAAAAAACGCAGAAACAAAAGAACATTATCTATTTACAGTTACATAAGTTTTTTATAATAATATGCAGTAAGAAGGAGAAATCTTGAAGATTCAGCACAGAAGACATTTCACTGTCCTCTTTAAAAAAACTTAAACATGAAACTTAGTCTACTTTTAGCTAAAGGCTTCTGGCTAAAAGGCTAATAGTATAGCCTATGTGTTATTGCTAACTGTAATCTACCTCTATGCCCAATTACATCAAAATTCATTGAGTAGTTTTTACGTGAAAGAGTAACAAAAATCCGTTGATTCATATTTACAAACGTATTTGTTTTAAATATGAGTAGGATTATATGCTTTTTCAATCTCTTTTGCAAATATTTGTGTTAGTTCCTGTCTCTATACTGAATCAATCTTTGTTTTCCTATTTGTTTTTTTATAAAAGCCATGTCAAACAATTGGTTTTTCTCCTGTGTCGTGGTGCGTGTACAAAAATACAAATTCACATACACAATTTATGGATCACACACGGTGTTGTTACGTTCGGGAATCAAACCCGCGACACGTTGCACAGCAGCCAGTTGCCAAGCCAAATTATTTGGCTGACTAGCAATGACGATATAACCACCAGTGGGTATACTCTTTGCTGACTAGTGATTGTACATAAAACCATATGAATAATAGTCTGTAGTAGTGGACAATGACGAACTATCCGTCCAGTAAACTGGAGACAAATGATGATTGAACTATGACATCATACTTCATTAGTTGGTTTTAATTTTACAAGAGTCAGAGGCAAAGTTAGTTAGATAGATTACAAAATATATCACTACTCTGAAGGTCACACGTTTTCTGCAATTTGAACCCTGGGTCGGGTGCCAACGCTAATTCATTTCAGCGATATCTATATAAAACATTTGTTATTGATTTTGATTTTGGAATAGCAACCATCGTGATAGATACTAAATTTATTGAAAGACATCTACTCACATATGGATAAGGGTCCCGTTGTTACTTGAATCTGGTCGAGCTTTCCTCAGTTTGACGTAAGTTGTTATTTTTAATAAAAAATTAAAATTATGTATCACGACCTCTTTTTTAATGAATCTTAGCATTTATATTAATGTGAATAAAAGCTACTATCCATTGATTTTCTGTTCACGTTGAAAAGTATTCCAGAATGATTTTAGAAGCTAGGAAATCCACCTAATGACTTTTTATTAACTAACATAATCATGCCTAAGTGCGATCTGTAGTGGTATTAACTTCAAGTATTAACGTCTTGTCATTAAACAATACTGCCTTGGCTAGTCCCTTACTTACTTCACATAATAAATCTCAAAATACAGGTCAACTCATTAATCGTATTGTGATATCATCGTATCCTTGAAAAACCACTGATGGGGAAACACAAAACCACGGAAATACAATGCACTACATACAAGGCTGTTTCTATTTGGACGATGGATGAGGTAGCTCTATTTAAACACGCAATGTAACATCGAAAAGGCGTAGCTTTGATTTCAAGGACCTTCTTGAGATATTTGCAGGTCGTTCGCATTGTTTTGATGATAATTAACTGCATAATGAGTTTATTACTCTAATATTGCTTTGCTCTAAGTTCAAGTAAATAATAAGGTAGTTTCCAACTTGTCAAATTCAATACTTCTATCCAAATGTAAAAAACGATATTTTTCTATGAAATTTGTATGAAAAACTGAGGTATGACGTCATAACAGTTTTGCGTCAAATGGCTTACTTATTTCTGAATAATGAGCTAAAAAAATCTAAAACTTAGTGTATCGATCGTTCGATGAATAAAAGTATAGTTATTTTTCAATATTTTATTGTATTAAAACGTCGAATCAATTTATTTTTGACCTAGGACACTACCCAATTCATAGCACCTATTTAAATTATTAAAATATCTACAAAAGATTATATTATAAAAAATAACAGTCGTCATGTAAAATTAAGAACAGATATTTTGAAAAATAGGGTACAATACCTACTTATAATAAAATTTAATCCAAGTAAACTCCTGTATTTTCTTCAAAGGACTATTTACTAGCTCAAACGCAAGACAAAATACGATCTTTTGTGGAAAACTAAAACGAAAAAATCTAGACTATATTTTAAAACTGTTTTGTATAAGAAACATGTTCAGATCATATGTAACTTAAGTGTGTCTTGTACACGAGGACGGAATAATAATAAGAATCCTTAACTTTACATGATGTCAGACGTTTTTAATGGTGGCGCAGATGACCACTCTTAAGATGAAGCCGTGGAATATTAAGAGATCTTTGAAATTCACTACATATGAATACACTAGTGTTACACAGAAAACACGTTTCTTTAATAAATCAATTTTTTTTATTCCTTGAAAAGAAAAACAAATTTAAGTGTTTTTACTGAGAAATGTAATTCTAAATATTAGTCACGTGTTTTTTTCTTTTCTTAGGATATTAAATGCTTTTGTACTGATTTGAAATATTGTGTGATGCCATGACTCAGCTAAAATACTCAAAGAACTTTCTCAAAATTTTTTTGGAGGGTAATATCGCTTAATTTCTTCTCTCGCCCAGGGTAAGGCAAAAGGGAGTGTCAGACTCTTACTGACTAAAAATCATCCTGTTCCTTCACCCTTATCAGGCCGAGGCCGCGGTACCTTCTTGCGCTTGCCCCGCAACTACGTCTAAACTTCGACCCTGTATAATCTGCCACTCCTAATCCGTATCATTCGTATTATCTAAGTATAATTTTGGTATAGACACAAAATACTTAGTTAATATTTTATCATTAGGTATCTAACTGGCGAAATAAATCGATTTAATTCACCAAACCCTAAGCGAACGCCGGCGTTCGCGCACATATTATTCTTCTATTGTGTCTCGAATTACCAAGATTGAAAGCTTAAATACCCTATCATCAAAACTATTGAAAGAACTTAACTAAAATCAGAGTTTTTAATACTAAGACTATAACATTTTGCTTTAATTATACTCGAACACTTTAGTGTATTATAGATACACTAAAGTGTTCGAGTGATTTAAAATTTATAGTTTGTTTCCTGTCAGTGGAAATCAGGTTACTGCTAACTTAACTTATAGTTATTGGCAAACGAATGCCAGTAGGTATACACTAAACTTTTATAAAATTCTTACGTAATTGAACACAATTTATAAAATATTGAAATTGTTTAAAAAGACACTAATTAACTCAATTAAAACTTATTGCTGGTAGCGATTTTGTTTGATTTTTATTTTAAAGGTAATTTTTTTTTTTTTTTTTTTAATTTATTTTTGCAAATAGGCCATAAAACGGCACTTTTACACGTCAATTTATATGTGAAAAACTAGATGAAGCCGGCATTTCCTATCTGACTACTCTGAGAAGAAATGCCGAAACAAACTCAGAGGTCAGTCTCTTTTCAAGTCCAGACAATGTAAAAATAACATAATGTGAGAGAATCGTGCAAGTTCATTCTGTAGTGGTCTTTTGAGGAAAGAACCACACAAGTTTAAGTGGACCCGTTCTGAAGACAGGCACGCAAGTGTCAGTTTGCAACCAGTATAGCTAGTGCTGCTGAGTTGTCCGACGAACAATACCGATCTAAAGAACATTTGGGTGGGTCGCGCAAGTACTCAAACTGTCAGAACGCAGATAACTGGTAATCAAAAAGCACGGCAAGTCTCACACGGTCCTTACACTAACAATAATATAAAATAATAAAAATGTCAATAAATAAATAAAAAAAAATGTCAAATAAAAAATAAAATGTCACAATAGGTGATTATGTCATTGTATAAAAAATAAACGTAATGTCAAATTGTATATAAAAGTGTAACTTATGTTACAAACATGTCAACATGACCTGTGCAGACATTAAAGCGGCTCATTCGTAATGTTACTCGTATTAAGCTAATATGGATTTATTTTTGTCATTATTTAAAATCCCTTGGAAATCTCGTACTTACGTAATAAGTTATTGAAATTATAAAATATATTATTTAAAAAATGTATTATTTAAAATTCAACAAATTTATTTACAATTCCGTTTTATTTTTTAAAAACTTGATCTCATATATAAAAATCTTTGAGTGGCAAGCGTAATAAGGTACCGTGACCTCGGCCTAGAGCAGGTGTAAGAGCGGGGGGATTTTTAGTCAGTAAAAGTCTTACATTTCCTCACGGTTCAAGAAATCATTTAATGATTATTCCCTCACAACAAAATATATATATATATATATTTTTATGTAGTTGATCGGCAAACGAGCAGACGGATTACCTGATGGTAAGCAATCAGCGTTGCCCATGGACACCCGCAACGGAGGAGTTACGAGTGTGTTGCCGACCTTTTAGGGATTAGAAATTTGGAGATTTAGGAATTGAGGAGAGATTGGGGGCGGGGAAGGATTGGGCCTTCGGTAACCTCACTCACACGGCGAAACACAACGCTCTGGTTGTTTCACGCCGGTCTTCTGCGAGGCCGTGGTATCACTCCGGTCGAGCCGACCCATTCGTGCCGAAGCATGGCTCTCCCACACTTAAAATATATATCAAAAATCTCATAAATAATTCAAGAAGTTCAAGAAGCGCCTTCATATTCTCTTTCCCTGTCTTAGAAAACAACCCCCTTTATTTATGTTTTTATAATAACTATCGTGAGACATACTAAATTAACTAAAATTTATTTATCCTCAAATCCAAACCAATATTATAAATGCGAAGTAACTCTGTCTGTCTGTCTGTTCTTCACGCCTAAACTACTGAACCGATTTCTGAGAAATTTGGTACAGATATAGTTTGGAAGTCGAGAAAAAAAGACATAGGATAGTTTTTATACCAAAAATCTGCAGGAAGTCACTTTTTCACTCAAACAAGGTCGCGGGCAAAAGTTCCTTAAAAATGTTAAAACTAGTTTTACACATAATCCCTTCTAAGGCCTATGCCCAATGCTGCAGATAATTTGCTGCATCTAGATAAAGTTTGAACGCAAACTGTCTGCAATAGACACGCTCCTATTAGCACAGAGTCAGCTATCCATCACTTAGTAATCAGAATCAAGCAGGCAGCCGTAAAAAACTGTTGTTGTAAAATTAATCATTTATATGTATAAGTAGTAAAAGATTATGCAAGTTTGTGTAGGAGTGTGTTGATGCTATTGCATCAACAAGACCAAGTAGTCAAATTTACAATCCTAAATTTAATTTAATAATAAAATGTTTTAAAAAAATTGAAATTTTTGTTATGACTTTGGTCTTTGTGATTCTTTTTTTAACCATTATTATTTTAGTTTCACCAAAAAGAAACTAGAGCTAAGAAGTTTGAAATCGATGGTACATTTTTTTGTGAAGGAAAAGTTAGACACCAAAATTTCTTCTTGGTGGGATCATCACTACGACTTCTTCCATTACATTACATTACTGCGCTTGCATTTGTAACTCCAACTACATCGATAGTACCTTTTTTTGTTTGGCGAAAATCATTAGCTCCGTCTGCGGAGATCGGTAGTACCTAAGAACTCGAGAGATGATCTCCGACCACCGCTCGCCGCCCGACCATAACCAGACCCGATCGTCGTAGGGGTTAGTCAGTAAGAGTCTGACACTCTCTATCGCCTTAACCTGGGCAGAAGAAGTCATGTGAGGATTTTACGATGACAAAAAAAGTACCTAAATATTGTATAATAGTGTTTAGTAGACCACGAAAGGTCCAATTCTATTTATTCTAAGTAATAAAGTGGATATGTTCAAAAAACTACAAGGCCCCTATTAAACCCATACGTCAATCTGAAATACTCGAGTTACTCCTGAAATCCTGGGCTCTCCTACTAAGTACATAACTACTTAACATTATAAATATTTAGCGAACCTGGGTTTTCTATTGAAATAAGTCCATGACAAAAATCTGTCAATAAATATTTCTTCACCTACCCATAGCCCCTAGCTATATTTGTTACAAATATCAATACTACGCTATTATATTGAGAAATATCGCCTCTAATACATAAGTATTTACCTACGTAATAATCATGTTAACCTAAAAATGAACGACAAGACTAATTTACATTACAATCTGCGGTAAAATTGACATTAAGCTTTATGTCGTTACCTTAGGCTGCAAATTGCTTTGTAATATTGATTGTTATGTGTTGGTCTGTATCGGTAATAGTGGGTCTATTGTGAAGTTGTCTCAATCAATCAGTTGTAAGATAACGACGCTTTTCAACTGTCAGCAACTTGTTTTTGTTTATCAAGTTATGGTTCGTTAAGCTTATACAGTATTTCTACGGCTTAAGTGAAGATTTTTAAATGTTTCAGTTGTCAGAAGTGGAAACCGAACAATATTAACCTACATACTTAATTAAATTTTTAGCCATAAATGAAGTCTTATAGAGGATGTTGTACCCACATTATTTTAAGAATCTACATGGAGACACTACGGAAGTTCATTGGTCATTTAATTTTATCCAAAAGTTTTAAGAATTGAATTTGAAAATGTGGGAGAGCCATGCTTCGGCAGGAATGGGTCGGCTTGACCGGAGTGATACCACGGCCTCACAGAAGACCGGCGTGAAACAACCACAGCGTTGTGTTTCGCCGTGTGAGTGAGGTCACGGGGGGCCCACCTTCCCCGCCCCCAATCCCTAATCCCTAAAAGGTCGGCAACGCACTCGTAACTACTCTGTTGCGAGTGTCCATGGGCGGCGCTGATTGCTTACCATCAGGTAATCCGTCTGTTCGTTTGCCGACATATTACATAAAAAAATAAAATAAAAATTTTAGATGTTTTTCCCCTCACAAAAAAAAAAATACCTTCATTATTATAATTATTTTTTTATATTTGGTTCACCAACAATTGTTTACACAGGAATCAAGATCTTACAAACTAAGTTATAGAACTTCATAAGTGTAACAATTACTTAGAGGTAAACTCAGCATTTCAAATACATAAAAATATTATGTGAGCAAACAGTAACACAGTTTTGATAATATATCTCTAAAAAAAATAATTTAGATGTACTTAAATATAAACCAAAAAATTAACTTATTTAATAACAACAGTTGCGTTCGTCTAGCGAGTGAGGTTACTGGAGACCCGTACCTTGCCACAATCCAAAGTCCAAACCTCGAATCCCTGAACCCCAAATAGCCGGGACACTCTAGCTATGGTGTTGCGAATGTTCATGGGCATGCTTACCATCAGGTAATCCATATGCTAGTCTGCCGTCCTCACCCATAAAAAAAATCCTAGATATTTTTTATTTATAATACCTTTATATATCAAGTAGCTTGTAAGTTATCACAGAGCCAGGCTCAAATTGGTCATACAAGCAGTTAGGTCTACATAAACTAAGTCTAGGCACTCCTTTATTGTGACATTGCGCTAAATTGAAACCTTTTTTTGCGACCTGAGTCATGTTTCTTTATAATCTGTGTGTAGTTTGTTTGTAAATAAAACGAATTTAAGATTTAAACAGCTGAGAAATATTAGTGAAAGATACCTGAAAGAATAATTTGCTTATACGATAATATGGGCGTTTTTTAATGGTAAAAACGCTTTACCTGTGTTGTCGATTCTACCAGTTTTTGACAGACTACCCCGCGACAAAACCGAGGAGATTATTGCAAAAATTGTGGTGTCGTGTTTCTTGTTTATTTAATAAAGTTTGAGATCGGTCAATCGTTTCAAAATCTTGATAATAACAATGAAAAAAGTCACCTGCGTTAAAATTTTCTTTTTTTACATTTCCCGCGCTTGGATTTACTCCTATGCCATGTGTGCATTTATAAATATACAAAGTCACATATTAACTAAAAATCTTTTATCTAAAATTAGTACGGCATTTTTAATTTAGGAAGAGCCAAGCTTCGGCACGAAACGGCTCGACCGGAGTGATACCACGGCCTCACAGAAAACCGGCGTAAACCAACCACAGCGTTTTGTTTCGCCATGTGAGTGAGGTTACTAGAGGCCCAATCCCTACCCCTCCCCCATACCTTCCTAATCCTTAAATATCCTAAACCCTTTTTCCTAAACGGCAGCCAAAGCACTCGTAACTTTTTTGGTGTTGCAAGTGTCCATGGGCGGCGCCGATTGCTTACCATCAGGTAATACGTCTAATCTTTAACTACGTCTCTGTATCTATTTTTATTTTTCTATGTTTCTAGCTCATAAATAACCTGCGTTACTAGAAACAAGACGGAGAATGGCACAGTCTAGTTACACGGTGATACGTCACGCGATGCCGTCACTCCCGAGTTACGACATTGTATTAAACCAATCATTTTTGTCATAATATGTTATGCTGTAGTGAGTCATTCACTATGTCAGTTATTGTGAAGTTAATTATTCAATTAGGTTGTATAACGATAGTCTAGGAGCTTAGCGTTATCTAGTTATCCGATATAATCTTATTAAGTTCTTTTTCAGTAAGCAACTAGTATTCGCAGATGTCACAATTCTCTGTGACATTTCATTATCTGAACATTATCCAAAATGGACCAGCGCAGCCGTTCTTGAGTTTTAATGAGACTAACGAATATCAATTCATTTATATTAATAGTCACAGAAATATGATTTTAGATCCAAATGAGCTACATTTAGACACATATTTATTTCAAAAGTTAAGAAAGTAGTACTTTGTATTTCGAAAACTGAATTCGGAATATTAATCTTTTAATCATCGCGATTATTTTTTAATAATCTGAATACAGAAATATTAGGTTTAATTAAAAAAAAAAATATTTTTGCGGATACAAAAAGTGTGCCGGATCTAGCCTAAGGCTTAATATAGGCCAGAATATTTTAATAATTTAGAAGCAAAACGTAATAAGACTTTTTTTAAGATATAATTTTAAATTTTTGCGTCAACCGTAATAAAAATAATAGTCTACATAAATTAGGTTAAACGCGAAAAATATGACTTAAATAATTACAAACTTAAGGACTTTTTAAAATTAACACTACTTTCACAAACACAGTTGCCCTTCAGTCTGTCTATCGAATGAAAAATACATTGCCATTAAAAAATAAGCAGAATTGGAGTTAATACCTAAATTAAATATATGATTATGATTTACAATTAATTATGCAGGACCTTCCAAGTTGATTGACGAAGGTAAATAATTTAGACACCTTTATGCTTAGTATTTTATATAAATTAAACATTTTATCCAAGTTCATGTAATTGTCAGTAGGTAGATAAGCTGTCAGAAAGATAAATTGGAACAAAATCAGGACATTTTTGGGTCACTAAACGAGTTAGTTATACTAAGTTAATAACGAATTTCCTGCCAATAAATTATTTTATACGAATTTAATTGGATCGCCGTCCGTTTGATCTTATATCTGAAGTGACATGCGTGTACGCATGTGATTTATGTTCAGGTCAGAAAATATACTTTTTATCTATGGTAGTATAGAGGTACATATATGTCTGTCAGGACTTGCAATAAAATGCATGCAGATAAAGATATTGTATAAATGTTATCAGTTACCTACTTCAAGTTCTTTTTTTTTATCTTAAATCTGCAACTTTTCAGTATTCGTGAGTTTTTTGGAAAGAGTAACTATGGAATTTTTTGTTAGTTCTTCTTCATTCGAATCTACAGTTTAGAACGAGCATCTAGCTTAAATGACGAACAGACCAACTGACTGTTCATGTTCGGTATTTTCCACTGAACTTTTTTCTCTCGTTGGATCCTGAAGATCATCATCATGTGATAAGTTAATTTAGTGTTCACTTATTACCTATTGAAGGATACTATATGAATTGAACTATTATTTAATAATATTTATTATTATTTATAAGTATAAACTAAGGAATACGAAGACTTTAGAATAATCATCTTAATTTCAATTCCAATAAACATAATCGCAGGTAATTCACTAAACACTAAAAACTAACTCCATTTTCGTTTATTCCAGGATCTCCGCAGCCTTCTGAAATTGAAGCACGTGCAAGGATTGGAGATCTACGATGCTCACAAGTCTCTCAACAGGACCAAGGTCCTGGAGACCGTTGAGGCAGCTCGTACTGCCATTAGCTCTTCAGGAGGTGGCCCGCTGTTCCTGGCGCTCCCAGCCCACCCTGAACTCTTGGCCAAGTACTACGACCTGAGAACGCTGGTGAAAAAAGTGGATCTCTTGATGGTCCAGACCCATGCCTTGGGATTGGTGAAGAAGATGACCTACCATCCTAGTAGGTTGAGCGGCATGTGGGACATGATGAATACTGTAAGTACCTATATAGAAGTTGGTCTTGGGGAATTGGTCTTTTACTTTTAATAAAGAGATGTTGTACTTATGCATCCATACATCCGTATATTTTTCAATTTCATATTTTTCTATTAGGTATTCAAAAATAATCAACGGTCTCTTTTTACTTTTTTAAGCTAGATGAAGGAGTTTAAAAAATATAACTGTATATGTTATATGTATTGTATACAGTGTTCTAAATTCTTAATTTAAAATGAAATAGATTTTTAATTTAGCTATTCTTAGCCATCTTCATATTAATCTAACGGACCTTTTTACTACATTCGATTTTCTTTTTTCACACTCAAACAAAAAATAATTCCGAATAAATCAAAGAGTTTTTCATCTAGATATTGTTCGAAATTCAAAACTCAATAGAACATTACATTATAATATCACCTAACAATAGTAAAATTGTAAACATAAGAAAAGCTTACACAATTTTCTGAATAAACAATGTGCTATTGCGATTTCATAAGAAAGTAATTTTAATATTTGTAATACAATGGCGTCATTACATAAAAATGGTGTATGATTGAATGCTGCTCCAATTATGATTAAGAGAGATATTGTGAAAGAAAGAATACTTACATGAATAGGATAGTATTTCAATGACATAATTAGGTATATTGACTAACTAAATGTCCTAATTGTGGCGCTAAATTTGTATTTTTTTTAACGTCCCTCATTATTATATACCTATCAACCTCTAATTTCTGACACCTAACTGACGGGCCATACGTGCATTTCATTTAATTGATAATTGATAAGGCAAGTTTTAATGGCTTAACTATTTTATAATTTTTACAATTACGAATTACTTATAACCCAACCATTTTAAGAGATTCGTAAAAAGAAGGATCTTTACAACAAATCTCATTAAAATTTAAATAGAAAATAATACTTTCGAAACCAACTACCTAAATGGAACACCATAATACTGTATGAACAGTAAATAATTCCCATCAATCTTCAGAACGTAATCACCTGACAACTATTTAATTGCGTACACGCATGCTATTTCAGTAATTAGGAATCAATCATTTGGATAAAACGTCTGTCTATCAGTCACTGTATGAGTATTTCGGTCACGTATTAAACGCACTTCTCAAGGCTAACTGCATTTGAGAAAAAAACTAACAAACTTAGCAATTCATACGAATAATCTTTGAGTTTTCAACGTTAAGGCTGTAATTGCTTTGATTGGAAGGTAAAGTAAAGATGGTTGAATTTGATCAATTTAGGCTATGTAGGACAATTATAAACAGGTGCATCTCTTTTGAGATTCACAACGGCTTAACTTGTATGGTATGTGTAGGATGCTCAGTCTTTATAAGTGGATTGATGGCACTTAATTGTATCGTCGTTGTATTAAATTTATCACTTGGTGACTAATTGCCATGTCGCGGTCAAAAGGCGTGTTTTTGGACTAAGGTCGTTCCATACACTATACAATTTGATTAATGTGATTAATGATTGTTATTATTTCGATTAAGTGAAAGAAAACTTTTAGTTTGTTACTTTGTTACTTCTAAAATTTCCGTTAAGATAGATTTTTCGTTGAGTCGTGTTGGATAGCATGTATGTTGATTCGTTTTATTCTTCTCGTATTTATGTATATCTGTGTTTATGTAAACCTTAAAGTTGTTATTCATTTCAATCTGTAAGAACTATAAATTATATTACTAATAATATTTGACTGTACTAGGTCGCTTTCAGCGCAGAACTTTTTGTGTGATTAACAAATTGTTGTTTCGGGTCTAACACCGTTTCCGAAAGGCCGATTGATGCTGATTGGTTGATTGAATTATCAACAACCAATTAGATGACTTGACAAGAGATTTGACACCTAGTTAGTTGACTTTAACATTTATGGGCCTTTCGGAAACTGGGCATAAGTGTCATTTGTATGTGAAAATTTACGTTTTGCAAACACTACTACGACACGGAAGAAAATGCTAACGTGTAAACTTTTCTTTAATTAATTGATGTTTATTTATCTGTGAATATACCTGTGGAATATACTGTATCATTGAGATCCATTAATGTCCCCTTCACAGGATTCCGTAGTAGACCTCGTCATTGGTCTCGGTGTGCCATCATCAAAGATTGTCATCAGTCTGCCGGCGACTGCTCTACAGTTCACCCTGGTCAATGAGACCCTCAGTACTCCTGGCAGTCCTACAGAAGACGACAAGCCTAAGGAAATAGACCAGGCTGAGCTCTGCAGGCAGCTTAGATCTGGACGGTGGACTTTGGAGAGAGACCAGGATCTGTCAGCGCCTTATGCTTTTAAGTGAGTTTTGTTACACTGTGAATAGAGTATCAAGTTTCCTGTAGGCGCTTGCCATATGCATAGGAATGACATTGTGATTTTTTAAGTATTTGTATCAATAAGTATCTTATCATTATTATTTTTTGAGTAAGTTTTATTAAGTTCTTTAAATTTAGTTACTGTTTCTATTGAAACAGGATATTAATGAAACCGAACGATTCGAACTTTGAATTCAAACATTATGAGTCTTATTTACCGATGAAGTCGATTAAACAGTATTTTCAAATTTCTAGGAACAAAACCTGGATATCCTTCGAAGACTCATCCTCAATTGACGTGAAGGGCAAGTACGCCAGAGTCCGCGGCCTGGCTGGCCTGGCCCTGCAACAAGCTGAACGTGACGTGGAGTCAGCTTGCGGCCCCACCCTCAGAGCGTCTCTTGCGAAGGTGCTCAACCAGCAGAGTCGAGCGCCCAGAGCTGCTGTTCTAAGGTAGGACTTTTGGAATGAAAATAGTATACCTATATTATGATCCCTAATAACTTATGGAAACTTTGATATTCTGGTTGTCCTTAGGCAGGACCAGCAGGCGATACGTGTGCTTTTTCCTCGACCTATTACATTAATGAATAGAATGGATTTAGAAATACATGTGTTCTATGTCAACTTCACCTAAAGTACTGCGGAATTTTTTGAGTTCTACGAGTTACGAAGAATAAACTCAAGTAATCACGATAAATAGTTTATCATAGAGGTCTTTAATGCAAACTTTACATTAGAAGAATTTAAATGTGTGCTTGAAAATGTTTAAAAATTATCATTGTATGTTCCAGGTCTTTAGAACACGAGATCCTATCAGCTCCTAGTCATGTTCGCGCCTTGGACGCTCTGCAGGTGTCACCGTACAGGATCACACAGGTTGTTGACTCTGACGGTGTCATCCACTCCATTAGAGAGGTAAGGTTATAGACATTCACTTTATTATAGCTTGATTTTTAACCCCCGACGCAAAAACGACGGGGTGTTATAAGTTTGACGTGTCTGTGTGTGTGTGTGTGTGTCTGTCTGTACCACTCTAGCCGCCGAACGGATGGACCGATTTTGATTTAGTTTTTTTTGTTTGACAGTAGAAAATGTCGAGAGTGTTTTTACGTAAGTTTGATGAAAATTGTTCCAAGATGGCCGCCGCCACAAAATGACAGATTAGATATTTTTTTTAAACTCCATCAATATGGGTATCAAATGAAAGGGCTTGACTAATAGAATACTATTAGATATGACAAATTTAAAATACAAGATGGCTGCTTCTACAAAATGGTGCTTTACATTTTTTTATTACAACTTGATCAATATGGATATCAAATGAAAGGGCTTGACTAGTGAAATACTATTAGGTATGAAAAATTTAAAATCCAAGATGGCTGCCTCTACAAAATGGCGCTTTATGGATATATTGATATCATTTGATATCCATATCCATATCCATCCATTTTCATAGGAATTATAATTGTTTATGGATATCTCGTTCCGTTCATTACATTTGGTTTTTATAAAGTCGGGGGTTTTTTTAAATTTTTAATTCTGTGTCTGATGCGCAAATATGCAATTTAAAAATAATCGCACATAACTTAATTTCGCACGCTGACTTTGCATGCACTTTGCTATGTCCTGCTTTGGTAAATGCTGATTATACTAAATATGTAGGTGTAACAATTGACACAAATCTGAACTTCCGTAAACACATCGGTCTTTTGTGTATTAGATCGTATGTGCTATAGATGCGTAAATTGATCTATTTCTAAAAACTTCTAGAAATCGTACAATGTTGGTTACTAGTCCGTAAGAAACAAACACTTTAAGTGTTATTTTAAATCTAATTTTATATGTATAATATTTAGTCTTGTAGTCATAAACAATATACTTTTTTCATTAGTAATATTAATTGTATTTGCCCCACGTATTAAAAAGTCGAAGACTGTTGGCCTGAAACACAGGTTTACATAAACCTAGCTCGGGCAGGTCACTTTAATATCGTAAGTCCTTGTTAATAACAAGTATTTCATAATTGTGAAAATAATAGTATAAGTTGTAATTACCTTGCATTATATAAATACGTAAAAGTTAACTATTGAAATTACTGTGGCTTATTATAAACAATATTTTGTAGAAAGTTATCAATAATTAACAGTGAAGATGTTCTGGCGGAGAACGTTATTAAAATTAAATAAATAAGCTAAAGAATGAAACTAAAAAGCTTATGACGAACACAGACATATAGGTGATCCGGAGCGAAACCCACGCCAGATCTTAGCTTACTGCAATTATTTGTGATCGTATCCAGTCTGTTTGGTTGACTGTTATTGCATATGTTGCAGTCAACTAGTTAAAATACCCGTTCAATCAATAAGCTAGCTCGTTGATCGCCATACCATTCTGTTAGCTACGCTATTCAACTTACAGCCTGAATGAGAAATTTAGCCATTCAATCAAACGACTCGGCTCGTGAAACAAGCCGTTCGATTGTATGGCTAATTTGGCTGCGATACACAGTGTTGAAGTTTGAGCATGTTCGCACACCATTCGAGGGACTGCTAAATGAATGACTGTACTGTTTTCGGTGTAGTTACATCGCCATCTTTGTTTGACAGGACACTCGCACGGAATTCTCTTGCTCCCGTCAAGGATACTTCGTGCACCCTCGTTCCTGCGCTCGCTTCTACCGCTGTGTCAAGTTCGACCAGCTGTCACCCGAATATACCGTTAGTATTTCATTGTTTCCAGAATGCTACATGACCAGGTTACTGAGGTTTTATTCCGAAAAGAACTGATTTTGTTCTGTTACAAGGAAACGCAGAGTATACGAGTAATTATGGATTTCACCATTGTTCATATATTAAATAAAAAATAATAATATTCATTTTTAATTCATGGCCGTAAGACGGCGTTCGCGCACCCACATAATATATTTCTTCTATAGTGTTTAATTACCCCGATTAAAAGGGTACAAATAATAAAGCAATTATCTCTTTTCAGGTTTTCGAATTTGACTGTCCCGCGGGATTAGCTTTTGACAATCGTTACGAGGTGTGCGTATGGCCAGGAAGTCTTCCACACTCACAAGCCTGCCCCGGATCCTCTGAGATTGCGCCCGTACCAAAGACCAGGTTCATCTGTCCTGAACATGAAGGTATACAATATTTGGTTACGGTTTTTCAGCGATCATAGCAAGTTTCGTAGCAAGATGATCTTAGGAATTAATTTGCCGCTAGTGTTAAACAAAGTTTCTTCTGGTGTAGTTATTAAAGTTGACTTAATTGATATTTCAATTGGGTATTCAAATCGGTTTAGTTTAGCCTGTGATAGTTTACTGTGAAAGGAAGTTATAATAGAAACACCAGAATTGTACTAAATGTTTTTACGTTGAGTTAAATACCTAGTTTCACCCTTAGTAAAAGTTATGACCCATTATAACAACATTAAAATATCTCTTTCAGGTTACTACGCTGACCCCGAGAACTGTCGCTGGTTCTTCGCTTGTCTGGACCACGGAAAGTCTCCTCTAACAGCGTACGAGTTCCGTTGTCCTTTCGGTCTGGGTTTCGACGCCGAGCGACTCAAGTGTGACTGGCCTTGGTTGGTGCCAGCGTGCGGTAACATTGCCAGATACGAGGCTGAGACATATGGGTTCTCTGCTGCTACTCTTACTGGTAAGTTATCAATGTAGAAAGTACTACGAATTTTATTAAAACAAAAACTAAGAGATAAAAACATACATACGCCTTCTTCTAGAGTATTAATTAGCTTGGATAGTACACAGCGAATAATTAAATGGTTTTATTCCCAGGTGCAGCAGGCTATCAGGGTCAAACCGCAGATGCTATTAACGTAGCTGCCCATCAAAGCCTCGTCTCCGGCGCTTCTCTCAACAACCACGTTGGCATCCAAGGGGGATTCCTCACTAGTGAAGACGCTCTGGACTCTAACTTCATCGCTTCCCAAGAACTAGCGAATGCTGGTCATTCTTACGAAATTGGAGATGGTTCAGCCCATGCTGGAAATGGCTTAGCTTACCAAGTAGGAGCCGCTGGATCTATCCATGCCGGAGCAGGTCTGGTTCAACCGACTCAATATAGAGAACAACAACAATATTCCAGTGGCTCGATCATCTTGGATGACTACAGGCTGCCTACTAAAGAAGAAGCTCAAAGGCAAGCTGCTCACAAAATTAATATTGTACAAAGTACTAATTCAGGAAATGTACATCAACAATCAGGACAAACGTCTGGTTATTCTACACAGTCCGGACACACCAATGGATATGTATCTCATGGTGCCGGTCAAGATGCGGGATATATCGTTCAAGCTGGGGGAAATGCTGCTCAATACAATGGATACACGGGATCATATGCCACAGGGAACAGTCAAAAGTACCAAAGTTCAAGTTACGATGACGATAATTCAGGAGCTTACGTGCACGATCCTTCAGGAGACTACGCAGAACCCTACAAACATATTGGTTCACCAGTTGAACCCTACGTGCACCAAGATGCTGCTTACAAACAGTCTGGATATGATTATGATTATGGAAAATATTCAGGATCGTCTCAGAGCAGTTTTGGAGGTAAATACACTGAAGATAACGTTGGAAAGTATGTTCAAGATAATTTTGGAGCATATGTGGAGGCAAACATTGGAAGCAATGGTTACAAAGGAACCTACTCTACTGGCTACTCCACTGGTTATAGCGCTGATAATTCTGGAGCATACAAACACGACAACTCTGGACAGTATGAAGCTGGAGTGTACAGAGCCAACGGCCATATCGGTGAAGGGAAAGCTACTAGCCAATCTAACTTCCAGCAATATCACGGATACAGCGAAGCTAATGCTGGAAACTATATCAGTGATCCAAAGGCTTACACTGGTTCATCTCACACTTTGACTGCAGGAGCTATCAATGTTGGATTAGTCGGTAAGACAACTCTGATTGACGCTGATTATAACGACCAAGTTAATTATTATGAAACAGACTCAAAAGCTACAGGCCAAGGCAGTTATCAAGGCTCAAAATCTTACAGTCACTCTACCCAAACATTACATCCAGCTCATGTTTCATTGGTGTCTCAACCAGCTGTTGCCATAAACCATGTTGGCACTGATGGTAACAACCTTGACGGATACAGCTACGTGACTACTCCTACTTCTTCAGGAGTTCCAACTACTGCCACTCCATTCGCAGTAACAACATCGATCCCAACAGTGACGTATAAAACTACATTCGTACCTGAAGCACCTAAGACAAGCGTAAAGCAAATATTTGGTGTTTCTCAACCATCGGTTACCTACGTACAACCAACGGCTATAGCTGTAAAACAAGTCACTCCTCAGGTGTTTGTTGCGGATCACAATCAAGGTGTAAACTTCCAACATGATAGCAAGGATTACTCGGGCAGCTACAACGGTGAAACAAAAGTTGAGTCTGGTTACGAATATTCCAAACCCAGTATTAAGTTCGAAGATGGTATATCCTACACTACTGCAGCGCCAGCAATTTCTGTATCTACTTATCAACCTGAAAGTGTTAGTCACAATCAGCAAACCGTCCATAATGTTGAGTCCGTCGGCTTTGGGTATTCTACTCCTACGCCCGTTTATGAGGAGCCTTTCAAGAAGGTCGTAGCTTACACAACTGGACCATCGGTATCTACATACTCTCAACCAACCGCTGCCACATACACTCCACACTCTTTTAGCCACCAGACCATTCATAAAGTAGAAACTAGCAAAGTCTATACACCATCTGTTGAATCTGCATCAGTTGATACTGGCTATGATTACTCCAAATCTGGAGTGACTTTCGAAGAACCTAAAGTGGTACAATACACAACGGCGCAACCGGCGTTAGCTGTTCAGCCTATTGTATCAACCTATGAGCCACAAGTTGTCAGTCATCAAACTCTCCATAAAGTAGACGCGAACCGTGTCAACACTTACTCAGGAGAATCTTCATCAGGAGTATCAGGATACACTTACGAACAACCCTCTGTTCAATTTGAGGAAGGTAAGAATGTATATTCGACTCCAGCACCGATCGTATCTTCAACATACAGTCCTAAAGTATTCAGTCACCAAACTATCCACAAAGACATTAAGCAATATGTACCAGTTTCCACTACACCTAAGTATGAAGTTAGCTACCAGTCGACTCCAGTAACAGTTTACGAAAACCCAATCATTCAATATACACAGAAGGCAACACCTGTTACTTTCGTTGAACCTACTTATAAATCTCAGTCATTTAGCCATCAAACAATACATAAGGTAGAAGACAACAAATCTTACAATGTCGAATCAGGATATGAATACTCTAAGCCTGCTGTAGCTGTAAACGACCAGGTTCATTACACTACTGTTAAACCTTCTGTCTCGACCTACCAACCACAAGAGTACGGTCAGCAAACTTTACACACCGTCGATGCTAGTCAGGTTCAAACATACAGCCAAGAAGATGGCTACACCTACAATAAGCCCGCTGTGAAATTTGTAGAGGAACCTAAGACTGTGTTCCAGTACTCTACTCCATCACCAATTGTGTCATCTACATACAGACCCCAGACATATAGCCACCAGACTATTCATAAAGTGGAAAGCCAAAATTATGTTCCAGTTTCATCCACGCCTGCACCTAAAGTTGAATTGTCTTACCAACAAGCCGTCTCAACATACGAAAATCCCATTCTTAAGTACACACAGAAGGTGACTCCAGTAACGTACGTGCAGCCTACAGCGACAGTGTATACGCAAACGTACAAGCCGGTCATTCAGCAGCACGAAGTGAAGCACATTGTCAGCCAACCTGTACAATACGAACAACAACAGGTACACATCAGTCAAGAAGGATATTCGTATAGCCAGCCTGAAATCCAGAGAAACATCGAATCTAAAGCTTATTCTGACGCAAGTGCTGTATCTCACCAAGTCTATCACCAATCCAACGTAAATAATTACAATTCTGGTAAGAATGTTGTACATGTAACAACTTCACCTGCAACCCTTATCTATGAGAACCATTATGTTGACGTTGAGTCACCAAAAGTAGAAACATACCAGGCTCCTGAATATATTCCACCGAAGAACGATTACAAATCCTATTCAGTTTCTACCGCTTCAGCTCCTGTTGTTCATCAAAGCTCTGTAGTTCATCAAACTCAAGAGTACGTAGCTCGTAAAGTGGAATACCAATCATATTCTATTGGATCGACAGCATCGACACCCAAATCTTATTCCGTGAGTTCAACTGCCTCTGCACCAGTGGTTCACCAAAGCTCCGTAGTGCACAAGACTCAAGAATATTTACCTCCCCAGACATACTCTGTCTCTACAGCGTCGACGCCAATTAATGAACAAAGCGCTGTCTTCTACCAAAGTCAAGACAACTACGATTACTCGCAACAGTACGAAAACATACATCATTCAGTGCCGGCAGTACACCAGCATTCTTTCAGCACATCTCATGTTGAACAGCCACAGAAAGTAGAGTCCATTCACATTTCTTTCCCTAGTTCTACGGTTTCACCTGCCTATCAGCAGGTGGAATATCAAGCTCCTGAGATTCAAGTAGTCTCAAAGGGAGAAGAATATTTGCCACCCGTAGTATCCACAAGCGCACCTGTTGTAACATCAACTTTCAGGCCTAGAACTTACTCCACTGTATCTACAACTCGGGAGTATCTGCCACCAGCAGAACCCAAATATGAATACCTGCCACCATCCACCACTGCTAAACCCATCATCAAATCCACTACACCAGCGTACAGAGCAGAATCCACAACCGCATACAAAGCCTCAGAATATTTGCCACCTGTAGAAAATAATGAATCTAAGCTAATCAATTTTGAAAGTTTTGGTTTTAATGAGGCAAATGCTGACTCCAAGATTCAATACAATCCTTACCAAGAGATTACTGTTACCCATAACGCTGCTCCTGTAGAAAGAAAACATAACATTGTGGTAGAAACTGCCAAGTCTCACTTACTTGGATTTGGAACTGTCGGGCCTGATGCTGGGTTAGTGTCCCCAGTAACGTATACGACATCTGCTCCTGTTGCATCCTCCACATACAGACAGAGAGTAAAATCAACAGCTAGACCTGCGTACAAATACAGCACCACCACTGAGTACCAGGCTCCAGAATACTTGCCGCCTTCAGATGATTTGGAATCGAACGTCAACTACGAAAGTTTTAAATACAACGAACAAGAATCTGGAATCAAATTTAATCCTTATCAAGAAGTTACTGTGTCATCCACCTCAGCCCCAGTGCAAAGGAAACAAAACATTGTGATTCAAACAGCTAAATCTCAACAACTTGGATTTGGTACGGTAGGCCCTGATGCTGGCCTCGTTTCACCTGTCTCGTACACAACCTCGGCACCAATTGTTGTATCAAGCACCGAATCGTATTCGCAATCGCCAAAGACGGTTACGTCTACATACGCACCTGTTGAACAACAAGGTTTGTTCGAAGTTGTACCGTCCACAGTACCCGCAAGAAGAACAAAACCTAAAGTAGCCGTTGTCACTAAAATCAACGATTTCAATCCCTTCCTCGTCCGAAAACTGGGAGCTGTATGCAGCTGCCAGTCGCCAGTTCTAATCTTGAAAGGCAAAAGGCCAACTCAGGCTCCTCAAGACCTCGGAGACTACAATGACTATGAAAGTGGACAACGTGGAGATATTGGCGAAGAAGGTTACGGGGACAGATATAGTAAATTACAATCACAAGTAGATTCAGTTGCTACTGCAGCTCCAATTGTATCTTCCACTTTCAACCCCATAATTGTTCCCGACGATTCTTTCTACCAAGACTATCAGGAGCAGAGTGGATATGATGTGGCTGTTACCTCTAAGCCTAAGGCTGTTTATTCTGAAAGCTATGTATCAAGCACACCCGCTGTGGTTTCTTCCACAGAAAAGTATATTAGAGTCAGACCTCGCGTTAAGGCTGTTACTGTTGCTCCAACATACAAAACTGTTTTGTTGAACCAAGAAGCTACACAAACTGTAAATGCTAAAGATGAATCTGGTTCTGGATCTGCAATCGATTCTCAAGCCTTTGACCGATACGGTCCTGGTGGATGGAGAAGTAGGGATGAGACGTTGCAAGGTTCGGTCGACTGTCAGCGGGCTGGCTTGTTCCGACACCCGAAGCAGTGCAACAAGTTCTACGCGTGTAGATGGGACTGTACCAAACAGAGGTTCACGCTTCATGTGTTTAACTGCCCAGTACAACTGAGCTTCGACCCCAGCATAGGCGCGTGTAACTGGCCCAGCCAGGGCCCCGCGTGCCAGGGAGACACACTCCTCACCAACGTTCTATAAGTACCTTAACATAGTTGCCAATCTCGTCGTGCCATCGAAAATGTGATAAAATGTGATCACGAATTTTCCATAACTCTCTCCTCGAAACAGTTGGACGATTTGTCTCTCTCTTGTTTAAGTTGCTTATTTATTTGTTCGGTTTTGTTAATGTTATTTCAAAGTTATTTATTGCATAATCATTTTCAGCTTGAAGCTTACTACTACTAAGCCTAGTGAATTTTCATTATTGGAATTAGAGTTACCATTTTCTAGTTCATGTTATTGTAAAATAGTGGAGTCATATTTTTGTATTTTTATAAATTAATATAGAAATAATATGCTGTAATTTGTAAATATATGATTTTATTCAATGAACAAGTTGTTTATTTTTTAACAATGCTTTAATACGTGTAATCATAATTATAAAAAGCAAGCAGCAAAATGCAAATTGTTTAAATCATCAATGCGACAGGTTTAGCTACTTCATCCAAAGAGTGTTTGTACTTGTTGAGTACGGGTTTGACCTCTTCTTCAATAAACTCGGTCACTTGTTCTGGAGCTCTACCAATAAATGTAGACGCATCCAGGATCTTGTCCAGTTGCGATATAATAGGAGCAAAGTAGCTGTCGTTCTTCACACGTTCGATCAAATCATTATCTTTTCCATGCTGTTTCACTTGAGCACCAGCTTCGTGCGACAGTACTCTTATTTTCTCATGACATACCTGGCGATCGCCACCAGCCTGGACCATGGCCATGATAATATTCTCAGTGGCCATGAAGGGTAGCTCCTGATCAATATGACGAGCAATCACTTTAGGATACACGACCAACCCTTGGCAGATATTGAGCAGGGTCAGTAAAGTGGCGTCTGCGGTTAAGAAGCCTTCAGCAAGAGTGATGCGGCGGTTCGCTGAATCATCAAGAGTACGTTCAAGCCACTGTACAGCGTGGGTGTTAGCAGCATTAGCGTGTAAAGTAATGAGGTGGCGGGCAAGAGCGCAGCAGCGTTCCGACCTCATTGGGTTCCTTTTGTAAGGCATAGCACTGGAACCTATCTGGGAGGCTTCGAAAGGCTCCTCTAGCTCCTTGCGTGAAGCTAACAGACGAATGTCAGAGCACATTTTATGAACAGTAGCTCCAAGCCCGGATAAAGCAGAAATTACTTCCAAATCAACTTTTCTTGAATAAGTTTGTCCGGTAACGATGTACCGCTTGTCGAAGCCGGCGAGTTCAGCAACTCTTTTATCGAGAGCTCGAACTTTTTCACCGTCTCCCTTGAAGAGTTGAAGGAAGGAGGCTTGAGTTCCTGTAGTTCCTTTGACTCCTCGGAAGCGGAGGTCGTCCCTGGCGCGGGAGAGAACACGTTCATCCATGAGCAAATCACTGAGCCAAAGTGAAGCTCTCTTGCCGACAGTGGTCAGTTGAGCTGGTTGCAGATGAGTAAATCCGAGCATTGGGAGTGACCTGAAATTAGTAACGCATTTATTAAATACAATGAATTCAAAAGTTATTAAAGTATTTGACTGCTTGCTGCATGTAGGTAAATTTTTCTCAGAAAAAATAAAAAATGATTATTTGTTTCACATTTTTCCATTAAGGACTAAATAGATTGAGAGCCTGGGACATTATTTAGAAATAAAATTAATATACCTTCATTAGTCATGCAGAAAATATATTCATAAGTTATAGGTGCGTAACTTCATTATAGATAAGGTCTCACAATATCAATAAATACGCAATTAATCAGGAAGTAGTCTACAATTAATAAGATATTGTAACGTATGAGTCTGTCGGAAGATATAGAATAGTTCGTACTTTATAAACAGTGGTTAACGATTATTGCGTATTGTTCCAAGTTATTTATTGTATGCTAATCACATCTGTTGTAATCGATGAGACGACGTTTGAAGTCCTAATCTGCTTAGTTATTGTAGCATAACTGTTCGCACAATCGCAACCTTCGGACATATTGCTTTCTGGAGTTACTTTATATTGAAATCAAAAGCAAAATTGTTCAGGTTATTAGTTTATTACTAAATAGTTTATAAGTCCCTAATATCCTAGTGGTGTGCTTAAATATTTAAAACTGCGCAACGGATTTTGAAGCGGTTTTTTTATGAAAGAGATACATTTTTGAAGAGGAAGATTCATATTTTTTTTTAGACAAAAACCTTGCCCCACACTAGCATTTTCTCCTGTATCGTGGGTGTGTTTATAAACTTATAATATTACAAGCACATCACAACCATAACATGAACATTTTTTTTATTTAATTGGTCGGCAAACGAGCAGATGGATTACCTGATGGTAAGCAATCAGCACCGCCCATGGACACGGACAACGGAGGAGTTACGAGTGTGTTTTTTTTTTTTTTTCGTGCTGACAACACTGGTGGTCGGTTGTCTAAACTCGACCTCTTATTTAAATTTATTTTTTAAAATTAGTTTTAAGTGATTTTATTGTGTAAATTATATACTACTACGTTGAAGTAATTGCAAAAATACCAGAGGCATTGTATGCGTTGTGATTTGGTTGAGAATTAATTTGTCAAGTTGAAAAGTTCCTGTGAAATGTCAGTGGTCAACGGACGGAGCAAAAGTTTAATATAAATAATACTTTAAACCAGGGGAGTATAAGTGATAACTATTATTTTTATGAATATAAATTAATAGACGCCCTTATTGTGCCCTAAGGAACATATAGATGGTCTCAGTTTGCTTCGCAAATTGTTAAACACGACAATAATACTTTTGTAGATACAATACAAAAGAAAAAAAGTTTGATACTTTAATATACATATTTAAATTAGCCCAATAAGTAGTGTGATTAAGTCTATTTGTACTTTAAATTAATCACAAATTACAAATCTTAAGAAAACTTAAAGTATTAATCCAATTCCTTTGTTTTCCAACTACCTGCATACAATAAATTAAATTCATCATTATAGTACTTAACAGTTAATTTTTTCATCATATTAAATAATTTACAGCTTTATTATTCACTCCTTTGTTTTCTTATTTTTCTAATACCTTATAGATTTCATCCAAACCTAGCTTCAAGTAATTTTCCCTGTTTTTTTTTCTGTCCTTTTTTTTTCTCTTTCATTTCAGAATACCATCCCTTCATTTCAATATGATGACTCGGTCTAAGGATATGGAGAGCAAACTGAGGGCAGCACTCAAGGAGCTGGAATCTTCTAAGCACCTGTGCGACCAACTGCTGCAGGAGCGGGATGACAGTGAAGTTGAAGTGAAAAACATAATTGACAAAAACACTCAACTTAAAAACAAATTGGCTGAATTACACTTATGTCACACGGACCTGCTAGAGCAACACAATGAATTATTAAAGAATGTTGATACTTTTAAGCAGTGTACCGACACACACGAACATGCTCTTATACGCATAACTCATCTGGAGCATGACCTCCGAAAAGCACAAAATGTAATCCATAAGTTAGAGGCTACCAAAAACTCTGTGCTGTCGGTCAACACTCAGTGTTTATATGAGGAATTGGTTGGTAGTGGATCCGGTGAAAATATAAAGAAAGACAAGACATTGCTCTGCTGTCAATTGAACACACAATAGAGTTGTCCTGTGTTGAGCTGGATAGGCATATTGTAGTATGTGTTTATAGGCCTCCTAACATACAGAATCTAAATATTTTTCGCTCTGTAATGGAAGATGTACTGCTGAAAACATGTACTAGTAGTAAATGTACAATAGTATGTGGCGATTTTAATGTTGATCTCTTAGAAAACAATTCTCATTGTACAAACTTGTTAAGTCTATTTCAATCATTTGATTTGTCTAATGTTTTCCTTGAGCCCACCCGAGTAACATCCACCTCGGCAACTTGTATAGATAATATTTTCTGTAACTGTGATTATTTACAAAGTCAAATTGTAAATAGATTACCATCTGATCACAGTGGGCTCACAGTTAACTTTAATACTATAACAACTGTGCCAAAAAAGGAAATATTGTTTAGACAAATCACATACAAAAAAATTGATTCATTAAATAATAAGCTAAAACATAAATTATGCAGCCAAGTACAAGACAATAATTGCCCGAGTGAGATATATGCCAATTTATTATCCCTTATAAAAATACAATTCGATAAACTATTTCCTTTAAAACGTAAAAATATTCAGTGTAAATTTGTATTCTGTGACTGGGCTACACCAGGTATTCGTATAAGTAGAGACAGGTTATTTGAGCTATACGGCCTGAAACCATTTAATAGTAGCGAGGCTTTTCGCAGACATGTTTCCAAATATTCAAAAATATTTAAAATAGTATGTAAGCATGCTAAGTCGCTCCACATTAGTAATAAAATCAGGACCGCGGATAACAAAATAAAAGCTACCTGGAATATAATTAATAAAGAAACAGGTAGAAATAAATCACAAAACACTGAATTTAATTTAAAAACCGAAAAGGGATATACTAGTTCAAATTCGTCAGTTGCCCAGGAATTCGAAAGATTCTTTAAAAATATTCCTCTTAAAACTACGGAAACGTTAAAATCATCTCCAGCACTTTCTGTCGAGCTTCTCAGGGGTAACGTCAAAGAATGTCCTTCTGACTTTAGCTTTCAATACACAACCCCCCAGGCAGTAATAAGGGCGTTCAATGAGATCAAAGTGAAGTCAACTGAAGATCTTTGGGGAATGTCTGTTCGAGTGTGCAGGTCGTTTATAGAGACAATTGCGCCGAACTTAACTTTCATTTTTAATAAAAGTGTAGATCAAGGGGTTTTCCCGGATTTAATGAAACATAGTAAAGTAGTTCCATTATTTAAATCAGGTGATAGTACAGAACCTAATAACTATAGGCCGGTCTCTATTTTGCCAGTGCTCAGTAAAGTGTTCGAAAGGTTGATGCTTACTCAAATGCTGCGTCACTTTAACACGAATTGTATTTTCCATGACCATCAATACGGGTTCACCAAAGGACGTTGCAGTACGGACGCAGGAGTATCACTTATAAAACAAGTTTTCAACTCGTGGGAAAAAGCACAGGATGCCATCGGAATATTTTGTGACCTTTCAAAGGCATTCGACTGTGTTGAGCACGAGACGCTGTTACTGAAGCTAGAACACTACGGCATTCGGGGGGTATCCCTAGATTTATTGAAATCATACCTTCAAGAAAGAAAAATTAAAGTACAAGTCAACAAAGTTAACTCACTGGGTGCTAGCGTATCTATGGGCGTACCGCAGGGCTCAATATTAGGTCCTTTTCTATTTTTAGTTTATGTAAATGACCTGCCCCATATGTTCCAAAATGAACCGCATATGGTATTATTCGCTGATGACACTTCATTGATTTTTAAAATAAATAGACGAACAAACAAATATGACGAAGTTAATAATGCCTTAATGAAGGTTCAAAATTGGTTTACAATAAACAACTTATTACTAAATGATAAAAAGACTAAATGCATTAGATTTATTTTACCAAATGTTAAAAGTAACGTATGTGATGATATATTATTAAATGATCAGAAACTAGAATTTGTAAAAGAGACTACTTTCCTGGGGATCACTGTAGATGAGAAGTTGCAATGGGGGCCCCACATCAGGTCTCTAGCAGGACGATTGAGCTCTGCAGCTTATGCTGTCTGGAAGATCCGTCAGCTAACCGATGTAGGCACGGCAAGACTAGTGTACTTTAGCTACTTTCATAGCATCATGTCGTATGGAATTCTGTTGTGGGGACAGGTATCAGACGTTGAGTCTATCTTTATCTTGCAAAAGCGTGCCGTCAGAGCTATATATAACTTAGGTCGTCGCGAATCTCTCAGAGAAAAGTTTAAGGAGATCAACATTCTGACCGTACCGAGTCAATTTATTTATGAAAACATTATGTATGTTAGGAAAAACCTACACTTATTTGTAAAGGTATCTGACAAACATGATTATCATACTAGACATAGGAATAGATTGAGTCAGCCTTTATTTAGATTGGCAAAAGTGCATAAGTCATTCCTGGGTTTCTGTGTTAAATGTTATAATAAAATCCCAGTTGAAATTCAAAATCTAAATGAAAGCAAATTCAAATTATGTATAAAGAAACATTTATGTAAACTAGCATACTACAAAGTAAATGATTATATACAAGATAAAAATGCTTGGAGGCTAGCTGGTCCTACTCCACAGGATGTTTAGAGGAATTTTTGATTTTAATTATTAATTTGTACACTATGTTGTTAATTGTTGATGATCTTCTAAGTTTTTGTAAATGTGAGTGCCCTGTAACCTATTATAATTAAGTAAGACTTGTAGAATATAGGTACTTGTGACGGCTGGGAGCTGTCATGCTCACTCAGAGGTCTCATTGGCGGTGGCACGGGCACTGGATCGCCCAATTCCCTATAATATGGTTGAGTTGGGCGGTGCTGGTGTACGTGTCATGTTCGTGAACGGGCGCCGCCTATTGGGGACTGGTCAGCTCCAGGCTGTCTAATTATGTTGTCCTTGAGGTTCACTTCTTTTTCGTACTTTTTGCCTGAACATTAGTGTTACATTGTTCTCACATATCAGAACCGACTAAATGATGTAACAAAGAAATGTATTGTAAAACTGATTGAAAAAGAGTAACCATGGAGTTTCTTGCTCGTTCTTCTCCATAGGAATCTACACTTTGGAACGAGCAAATAGCTTCACTAGAGGACAGACGGACAGACTGACACGCTTAATTTTAAAGCTCTTGTTATATACTTTTTTTCCTTTTTTGCTTGCTTGACGTTCAAAAGTGCCTACTGTGGTCTAATTGAAATAAATGATTTTTGACTTTTTTTTTTGACTTTTTGTGTTGCCGACCTTTTAGGGATTTGTGGACTTGGAGATTTAGGGACTGAGGAGGGATTGGGGGAGGGGATAGCTTCACTAGAGGACAGACGGACAGACTGACACATAAAGTTAAACCTTATGATATCTTTTTTGCTTGACGTTCAAAAGTGCCTTTTTTGGTCTATTTGAAATAAAGAATTTGATTTGATTTGATTTGGGAAGTATAAAGCCTCCAGTAACCCTACTCACACGGCGAAACATAACGCTGTGGTTGTTTCACGCCAGTGTTCTGTGAGGCCGTGGTATTCCGGTCCGGTCGTGCCGACCAATTCGTGCCTAAGCATGGCTCTCCCACATTTAACAATTTAGAATTCACGCAAAAAGTTGTTCCGTGCGGGAATCGAATCCGCGACACGTTACTCAGCCACCGCACCTACCGTGCAGTCAAATGTGCAATAATATCTATTGATTAGTGCGATGCCGAGGCAAGTCGCTAGTTATACATATAATTCAGAAAGTTTGAACCTACTTGTATTCATCAGCGAATTTGGAGAGTTGGCTGATGATAGCTGCCAACCGTGGCAGTAGGAGGTCCAAGCCATGCTTCAACACGATGAGATCCGTGTTGTCTCCCACGTAGCATGAGGTGGCTCCCAGGTGGATGATGGGGGCAGCTTTAGGGCACCTCTCGGCGAGGGTGTGGACGTGGGCCATGACGTCATGACGGACCTTCTTCTCATGGTCAGCGGCTGATTTGAAGTCAATGTCGTGGATGGCGGATTCCAGCTCCGCGATCTGCTCATCGGTGATGTCTAGGCCGAGTTCCTGGAATGACCAATAAGAACTATTTGAGCTTAAGTGTTTAATTGACTTGAAAGCGTTCTTACTTTTGGCCAGTTTTCCATGGTATACTTATCGCTGGTTTGCGAGAATAACGATGAAAGTAAAAATTGCTGAAAATTAGAGAAAGTCATTTTTAAGACTGGGATAAAAGTTTAATTTGATACAATTTTGAATTACTTCGTTATTCTCGGTAACAAGCGTTGTATTGCAATGATTATTGATTTAATTACATCTAGCCGAATAAAGTAATTTCTCTCTGATTTGTGTACTAGGTCAAACAATGGAATTCTCATCACGTTTTCCTCCTTACTTTAAGTAAAATAAAAACAGCGCTAACTCTAAGAAATGGCGCCGTAAAGTGATCTAATATGTTATTTTTGTTGCGAAACCTTGGTCTAATTGTGTCGAACAAGTCATTGCAGGATTTATTAGGAATTCGAATTAAAAACAATGTTTTCTTAAACATAAGAAGAAGCTTATTTCATTCATGAAATCATTAGTAAATATATTCGTTGAAAAACTTAACATAAATTATGTTCTGCGTAATATCCATCATCTTTAGATATCTATATAATTATATAACTATGTCTTTACCGATTTGGCTAATTTTGGTCTTGAAGTACCTATTTGTGGATATCCAAAAAAGATTTATAAGTAGAGAAATTTAAAAAAATCTTGAAAAACTGTAAAATGCACATTCACGCGGGCAGCTGCCCGCGTGGATGTTCAGTTGCTAGTTTTTTAATAAAAATAATTAAAAATTAATCTCATCATCATCATCATCAGCCTATAAGTGCCCACTGCTGAGCAAAGGCCTCTTCTCATATGGAGAAGGTTTGAGCATTAATCACCACGCTTGCTCAATGCGGGTTGGCGATTTCAAACTTATAATTAGAAATTATAAGTCCAGGTTTCCTCACGATGTTTACCTTCACCGTATGTCAGTAGTGTCTAAATAATCATAGAAAGTACATATAACTCGGAAAAAGTTACATTGGTACTTGCCAGGTTTCGAACCCACACTCTCATGCATGAGAAGCGGGCTCCTTAACCTCCGGGCCACCACGACAAAAATTAATCTACTTATTCCATTTATTGTTTATTAAATTTTTAGTTACAGTACGAATTATTTTTGAATTTGAATTTAAGTTTGGAATTCCATTCACCCGCTGTAGCTGAGCTAGGAGCTTCACAAATGACATGATTTAAAGATGGCGTCTTTAGCCATTTAGGTATTTATTTCTACAGTCGCCATTGAAAAATAATGTTTCACAATTCTGAATGTAACTTTATGATATAATAAATCTGGTGCATTGTGGTTTGTGGTTGACTAAGCGGTGATCAATGTTTTCATTTTAGAGAAAAATATTTTTGTTTATAACCTAGTGTAGTATCGATATGTTCATATTTATTTTCAGCCTTATGACCAGTCGTTGCTAAATAAAGTTTATAATTTCAATGTAATAAATCCATTGAATGTCCAAACATGTTTGAAATAAGGAAATAGAGAGATTTTAAAATATTTGTACAGTTTCTGGGCGTGTATAAAATAGTAATATAGGGAATATAAGTCAAATTAGGTCAATAATCAAATAGGTAATAATTATGATGATCAAATATTCCAAATACGAGTTTAACTCTTGTTGAGAGAGAGAGAGAGAGAAGATATGATTTCCCGCGACTTCGACCCGGAGAAGTAACGAGTTGGTCCTTTGTCTTTTTAACAGTTATTAAAACCTTTTGCCCAGGGTGGAAGACGTCATTCTTTCATTGATATTTATTCTCAAAAAAGTCTATTTTGTGCATCGAAAAAGTATTATACATAGCATGTAGAAAATAATAGGCAACATCGTCAAATAAAGGTTGGGAAAGAAAGCCTTCACAAAATTTTGAGTGTCCATAAAGGAATCGGGATTAAGTGTTTTATGGTTCTGTTAATCATTTATATACCTATTTGATATAATAGTAACACTGTCGAATTGTAAATAAAATGATTGTTGTTTTTTTTATCTTTTCATTTATGATTTAATATTTGTGTATCTTTTTGAAATTAGAAATGTTTTAAGTTTATTATGAAATTTATTGAGGGATGCTCTTTTTTTATTAATGTTTGATGATATACCTTTTTTGGCGGGAATTGGAACGCTCCCTCTAAAAGCGTTTATTTAAAAATCGAAACAATTTTATTTACTGATCCTATTATTACTATAATTTATAAAGTACACTGAATCTTTGTTATCAACCAACACCTGCAAGTCTTAATAGTACAGATAATGCGTCACGTTTCGTTTTAAGGTATCCGGAAAGTGTTGACGAAACATAGAAATATTTCCCAACTGTGGTTCTGTAGTTCCCAGCCATTTTGGTCTTGCGAAAGAACCCTTTTGCCTTTGTTTTGTGGATAAGTTTTTGTGACTGTAGATTTCTAACCTTCGATGTGTCACGGTTGCCTGTTAATCAGCTGTTGGCGTAATTAATTAATTATTGCAATTGGAGTTGCGCACGAGTGGCATGTTCTTAAATTCAATACAAAAATCTTGTCAGTCTACATTGACGTTTGATATTTTCTTTTAATAGTTACGAAATATGTTCAAGTTTCTTTTTTTTCAGAGATAAATTGGTAAACGAGCAATGTTTGTCAAAGAAACAAATTAAAGAGGTAAAATTATTGTCGTAGATCTTTTATATTCTGTTTTAACGTAGTTATGTAAATAAGTGATACATAGGTGTGAGCGATCGGTAGGTATATGTACATACCCACATAAGGTTGAATGTAAATAAATAGGTTATCACGTAATTTGATGATGCTAAGTCGTTTCTATTAGATGAGCTATCAACAAAATGGACATGCATACATATTTTATGACTTTTACCATTTTCGTTAATTTTCTTCCCTGCACGCACGGGCGCCATTAAACGCCTATGAGTACCGCGCGAAGAATATGGTGTCAACCAGTTGCTATTTTCCCGCGCAAATTATAAAATCAATAATGGTGTATTGCTTATAATATTATTCCAGTAGCTACAACATTTGCATTTAATTAACACGTTCCGTGCTATGTTGATGGTGATACACTACAAGAAATAAAAATGACGGTTTTAAACATTCCGTTTGCAAAAGAAAACAATATTAACAAATATCTAGGAAACATACTTGATTCATCACGCGTCCATGTATCACAAAAAATAGAATGGTAGCCTAAAATGTTGATAACGGCTTAGATCAACAACGAAAAACAAAAGGTAATACAAAAGTAATATCTAAAAATACTATAATAAGATCCCATTTCAAAAAGCAGGTGTAAAAAGGTACTGCAACCTGCCCTACTAATTCGCTAGTAGAGATAAGATTAGAAGTCGAATGTGCTGATAAAACCATACAAAAAGATAACCAGAGTCATACAGTGACGGGCTACGTTTTGGCGAAAACGGACACAAAGACAAAAGAAGTGTAAATATAAATTATAATTGTGGTGGATACTGAGTGCAAGTGACAATGGTGTCGGTGCAAACTATCGCGACGATTGTCGTGAAGACATTCAAGATTGTAAGTACAATTACTGAGTATTATCTGAAAGAATGTACATCGTACACGGTAATATTAAGGTGCGGCATCGATATTGAGTCTCATCGAAGGAATAAAACAATTCCTATATCCATTAAAATAATTACAACGTGTTTGTAAATCAATACTTGAGTACTAAGACATGGAAATATGTTTGATGAAGCTAGAATATAATAAAATTGGTTAACTGTAATGTAAGTCAAATCTGTGGTTTGTTTTCTCTATTACGATTGTTTTATAAAGAAGTCAAACGGTTTCTGGTATTTAAAGAAATAAGAAATAACTGTGGATAACAATGTAGCAATGTATTGGACACATCTACGAGAAAATAAACTATGAGATATTAAAGTACGGGTCAATAGTACAGAGTTACATTTGCCTTGACACAACCAATGCCTATTTGATAAAGAATAAACTAAACTATAAATTAATTATAAAAAGGGTCATTATTCTAAGAACAAAGAACATGATTCATTTGAATTAAACTTTAAAATGGAATATTTATTAAGAAATAAAGAAAAAACAAGCAATTTCAATTTCAGTCTACAATGTACCGAATGATGTCACGTTACTGATAAAAATATAAGTATTTAAACATATCTATCGAATGATATTTGTGGACAATTATATACCAGTAGAGGAAAATAAAATAACTTACATATTTTCATTGAAGAATCAATGAAGCTAAATCATTATAAGGAAAATAAAGATGTTGATGTATATGGAGTGAAAGGAAGTACGGTATTAGGAATTGTTCCTAATATGACAGTAGTCTAAATAGTTAAGAAGAAAAAGTAAGGAATATATATAGTTGTGGGGTTAATACAGAAAGACAGTGTTGAATAAGATAACAACACAAATGACAATCAGAAACGTGAAAATTAGGCAACAATTGGAGCAAAAGCTACAGCATAAGTCTTGAATAATAAATCAAAAAGGAATTTATCCTGTAAAACAATTGACCGACCTATTGATAAGAGTAGAACGTGCGAAATGTTTAGATATGTGACTCATCAATTGAATACAGTTAAAATAACGTCACCAGCTCTAAATTCTTTACAATTTGTTAATTTGTTCTGTGCATTTAAGGTAAGGTTAATCGGCCCTAGCGGCCTCATTTCCTATCAAGCTGATAACGAGATAGCCACACCTACTTGATACACGCTAACTCATACTTTAATTAAAGAACATACATTCATTTGATCATGGTTGACAGGAATATTTTGTTTATTAGCTGCTTTCCAATTAAATTCTTCTTCTTCACCTTTTTTATATTGGTGTCATCTTTTAGATCTATTTGCTTCAACATTTATTCTGATTCTTCATATTCAGTGATGTAATTTTCTGCTTGAAATATCATAAATTCTTACTTTTAAGCCTTGAAATCATTACCTCAATTAGTTGAATTAGCACAAGTTAGATGGATTGATTTAAATTCGAAATTATCAAACGCCTTCCTTAAAACGTTTTAATTATCTATGAGCTCTTCATTTATGAATTTATATCCTAAATATCAATCATAAACAATGACAAATTCAATTTTGTCTTCTCTATCAAACTTTATATTCACTTCAACTTCATCTAGTTTTACTAGAAATCTTTTGATATTAGGCTGTTTAAAGTAAATATTTGCTTATAAAATTGAAATATTTATAACACTTAGAACTAATTGTAAATCCAAGTCATCATCACGTGTTCCACCTACTCATTCTGTGGTCCTTGGTCCTCCGACCGCGGAGCACATTGCAAAACAGTGGAACAAACAAATTTATCAGATAACGCTTTACTCACCACACAGCTAAAGGTACATCGGAGTACCAATGAGTAATGCCGTGAGTCATGGTGCTTAGCTAGCTTCAATGAACTAATAAGTAATAACTCTGGATGGTTATGTACCATAGTGGTCATAATGAGTCAGTTTTACCTTTTTGAGGAATAACAGACGCATTATTTCTGAATGTTCTTTCAGTACTGGGATTTTGTGTTACCAGAAAACTTAATGTTAATGAAGAATAAACTAGCTACTCGCCCCGGCTTCATACGGTCGCAATGCTATTACCGAATTTCTCTACTATTCAATGCATGTTATTATATGTACCTACATATAAACCATGATCATCATTAACTCTATCTTTTAAATATTTAAGCTTACATAGGGATGTAAGGACAGAGTCTGTGTCTGTATGTCTCTGTCGCTTTATCCGTGACTTTGTTTTATTTATACAATGTTGTCAAAAAGTTAAGTAAACTTTTTCACCAGTCTTGTTTCTTAAACTGCGCTGCAAAATATCGTTGGCATCTCTTCAACTCATTCCAATGTTTCAAGCAAGCACACGCATTTCTAGCTCACATTACAGATGCATGACATCTCGATCAAGTCGTGCGCATACAATGGCTCTCCCAAGCGACGTGGACAATCAAATTGTACGCTATTTACCTTGAATGAGCCCATTATGTGCCACATTATGTACGTGATCGATCCGCTCTGTGACTTCTGAGTATTGATGTATTACATTCTTGATTGTTGATTTAGAAATTCATAATTTCTGGTACCGTTTGCTTCTGGTAATTTGGTTTTATAAGAAGCTAGAGAGAGTTGTTCTTATCCAAGTTTGTGCTTTTAGATGATAATGGAAAGTATTATTATCCTGACTTTGATGTATATTGATGAATAGAGTTTTAATATCAGAAGCGAAAGAGCGAGAGATAAACCATATTTTTTTTCTCACAAGCCAATAGCTTCTTCGTTAGAAGCTGTTTTCCTTCTCTCACTTAGATAAGCTTTACCTTCTAATAATTAAATCATTAAGTTGTCTAAATGTCCTAAGTCCCATCTCTAAATCAGATTTTTTACGCATTACAAACAACTTTAATAATAACAGCTAAGTACAAAAAATATTATTGAAGTAAATAATTCGCTTTAACAAAGATCAAAATGAAATCTTCCATACTCTAATTAGATGGACAGCTGTAACTAATTAAGTATAATCACAAAATCTAAATGAATCACAATTGACGCCTTAAAGAGACTGATAAAATCAGCATAATAATAATTGTTTTGATTTCAAAGGATGTTAGAACTGTATGGAATCCTTCCTGTGACGTAATTAATGAAGTTATTGCTTATTGGTCGTAATTGGCAGCTGTAGAAAGTGGCGGAGAAACATGTGCAGGATGTTTGGACCGGTAAGATGGCGACGGGAAGAGCTAGATAGTAGATTTGCAATGTGCTGAGAAAATTTTATATAATTTGAAATTATAATTTCTTTTTACTTTTAGTGGAGTGTTAAAAATGTGGATGTGTGTGTATGGAAAGAATAAATATGAGAAGAGAATTTAGCATTACATAATTTGTATTCAAATAATGTTACACTTACAGTTTTTTCCTTTTATTTACTTTTTATTTCGATTTTCAAATTTTTAAATAATTTCTGACAGAAAAAATTTAAAAAGCAGTATCTCAGTAGCGGGATGGGTCCAAGCCATCGTCAGTCAGGGCTCCAGAGAAAGGAATCTCAGTTATGTACATATTATTATAGAATGTTAGTTTATTGTAATGTTTTAATAATTATAGACCAATTTCATGAAGCGCCCATTGTTGAATTTAATATTAATTTGGCTTAAGAAAAAGTGTTGGTACAATAAGGCATTGGTCGGTAAATCTTTTAAACTAAGAATAATTGACAGTTGAATAGTGTTAGATTGACGTGCAGTCTCTAATGCCACCAAAAAAAAAACGTGTCAATTAAAAAAAAGAAGCGTTCGCTTTTCAAACCTTATTATTCTTTTATAAAAAGAAAACTGTTACTCTTGGAAGTAATTCGTAATTTAAACTTTAAAACTCAATATCTCCATTATTATTTAAATAAAAGAAGTCGGTTATAAAATGAGTGACAAAAGAATCTTAACTACATTTTCGTTTTTAAAATCAAAAATATTTCAACATTACAAACCCAGAAGTAACTCCACGACATCCATGAATGAAGTCTGAGCTTCTTAATCATTGACTCCTGACTCCTGACCTATGCGTAATGGTTGTGTCAAGTAATTGTTGTTATCCGGACCTTGGGCGCGTCAGACGAGATCAGGAGACAGATGCACTTGCACACATGTCCTATTAAATAAATATTGCAAGTCTTTTGACACATTTTTTATTTTAATACCAACTGTAGTGAGACATTCTACAATTTACAGAAAATAACGACTTACTCCCGTGAATTGATTGGGAAAAGCTCTACTGTCGTCGGCTCGACCGAAGTGATACCACGGCCTCACAGAAAACCGGCGTGAAATAACCAAAGAGTTGTGTTTCGCCGTGTGAGTGAAGTTACCGGAACAATCCTTTCCCTACCTCAATCCGTTCCCTTTCCCAAAATCTCCAAATCCCTAATCCCCAAAAGGTCAACAACGTATTCGCAACTCCGCCGTCGTTGCGAGTGTACATGGGAGACGCTGATGGCTAACCATCACGTAATCCGTTTGCTCGTTTGCCGACCTATCACATAAAAAAAAAATACTAGTTGCGCACTGGGCGACGACGTCGCCGCGACATTCACCCCGGTCAATAAGAGTCCTTTGTTGACTTGAAACTAGTAGAGCAGTAAATTCACTTTTCACTCATGTGTTTAGAAACGATGCAACGTGAGATATCAGGATTGAATGTGAGCTACCATAGATCCGTGAAACACCCCTTGAAAAATAATAACCAAGGAGTTTTTGCTTCTTTTTCTATACTGGAGAACGGTGAAAATAATATTTATACTGTCATACCTTTAAAGAAGCCGTTTTTGTTCTAATTGAATTATAATACTTTCGTCAGCCTATAGCTGGCTGGCTGGATAAATGTTTGACTTTTAATAGAAAGTGAATATCATTTTGAAAAGGGCGACATGCATTGACTAGCGCCCTACCTTTGGCAATATTAAAAAATAGGTCATAAAAGGCCACGAGAAAATGAGTAAGCACAATAGAAAAGCCTACATTTATGTTAAATTGAATATGATTGTTGGAGTTGTTTGAGAAAACAGAAATAAATAGAACTGTAAGAAATTTTTTAAATATATTTTGGTACAATTAAGTTTTCCGTTCAAAAGAACATCTTCCTATATTTTCTTTGTATTATCATGTCTAATTGTAAGAGAAAATAAACAATAATTATATAATTATATTTTTATAATAAACTAGCTTTTGCATGTGACTTCTCGCTTCTACTGCACTCTAGTCTATTCTATTTTACTTAGCTTATTCTATCCTACCTACTTAACATATACGTAGGCAGGTAGTACAATCGGGCCTTCTATTTACGATAATTAACACAATGAAAAAAGTTCAGTTGTTCTCGAGATTTGCGCTTAGCAACATTTTAGTGATTTTTTTAATACATATACTTAATAGATAACGTGGTTTTCCATCTCATCAGGGGTCAATAATGTAACGATGAAATAATTCCGACGCAATCCATTGATTGATGTGAGGGGTCATATGTCAATCAATACTAGTGGAACTCACTGAATTATCATGCGACTTGTTTTTTTAGGAAAATGTTTAAAATAATTATAATCTTTAGTGGTGAGAAGTATTTAATACAAAAAGGAGTCCTGTACGATCTAATTTAGGGTCGATTAATGCTTATCATGCAACTGTTAATAAGGCGCAAATTTGTTTAGACGCTTCGACGTAAAATTTTTGGAACATCAACATTTCATCAAAAAAAAATTCTTATAGGTATATAAACAGTAGCTATTCCAAATTTCAAAGGAACAAATGAACTAGAATCTTAATTGCGTTTAAATAGGATTAAGATTCATTTACCTCATTATACAAGGAATGTGGAGATAAGAGATTGTGTGTGGTCTAGGGTTATCTAGCACATGCCAATCTCCACGAAGATGACTAAGATCTTAATGAGTACTGCATTTGAATGGATTATTTTACATTCTATATGTTGTCTCTTTATTGTGATTGTCACTAGTGCATCTTAATATTCTGTGGCCTACTGGACCTGGAGCAGGAGAAGGAAGGCGTAGTAGATTCTGATATAATTATTAATCGATTCATATCAGTTATTAAATTTTAATCTGGTCCCTAGACGGTAGATACGTATGTATGAGGGTTTTAAAATAATTATCCGGCAACCAAAGCGTGTGAGAAGGCACTTAAAATTATGTTATTACGTGCAAAACAGAATTGCCAATAGTAATAATTTCTGCAACTATTTAAAATTAAATCGTGAACATAATAAAATTATGGACATATGGCGGAAATGAATTCGATTTTCGAGTCGATCGAGTAATTAGTTCAACCGTTGATATGCGGAATCAATTTTAAATATAGGTACTAAAATACACCATACGTATACTGGTGAATATTAGAAGGATTAAAAAAAAAAAATACAGCGGTATTAAGCTATAAAGCACTCTTAACTTCTCTCTTATGTAGGGGTGCATAGCTTCTTCAGCGGTGGAATGGTCAAGAAGAAGGCAGTTAAAGTTATATTAGTATTATAAATGTTCGTTTTATATTGCAAAAATCATCCTTATTTGAATCCCTTTTCTTAAAAGCGTACGTTTGTACTATCTATACATAATTTTACGCAAAAACTACGAAATTCATATGAAACTAAAACTTATCGGCTTGGAGATAGATTATTATATGGAATAACTCGTAGGCTACTTCACATTCCAAATAAAATAGTAAACACACTGGCAGAAAATATAATAGAAACAAACTAAAAGGAAACTTGAGTTGACCACAAGCAGTTTTACTTAAATTCCAAGCTTTGTTTTTTGTACGAATGGCAATGATTTCTGACGATGACGTCAAATGATTGTAGATATTCAATGTCAACAAAATAGTTCCGATAAGAATATGTCTCAAGAATAACTGTTTTTATCACACTGTTCTTTGAAACATTAACGATAAACGTTTTTTTTTAAGTATTCTTTGACACTGGGATGGTCACCTACCTTTATTGTTTGATTCACATAAACTACTGAAGCTGAAAATACTTTGGAAGAAATATTCCTTAACATATTTATTGCAAGAATGAAGCTTGATATCTCATGTGAAATATACCGTTACAATTTTCTTTTCGATTATGCGAGAACTTTCGTATGCATCAACCTCTGCAATTTCTTAGATAACATCTTTTTTTATGGCAAACCTTTTCGATCAGATGGTTCAACTGTAGGACACTGGCAACACTATTTCTCTTAGGCATAGGAAAGATTGGGGTTTTGGGGATTGGGGATATAGGAATGGGGGATGGAAGGAAGATTGGGCCTTCAGGGACCAAACTTCACTCACGCGATGAAATACCACGCAACCCTTTTCTTTCGTCAGTTTCCACTGATAACTGAATCATAATTAGTTTTTGGAATCGCCTTTTTTCTTTGTTCTTTTCATTCTAATAGGAAAATGAAGAAACTATCCTTGTGATAGCTATTCAATTCTAGGTGACGTCCATTCCTAGGTTGGAAATCCGTGTAATAAATGAATGCTCCTACTTTCCCCATTTGTGCAAAAAAGCTCCACGTGGTCATGGCAGAGTTCAAGTAAGCAATTAAGTCGAGCAATTAGAGATTCTAACCTTGTTATAAAAACAAGTCTTACATTTCTGCACGCTTTTTCTCAGAAAGTATTATATGCATGAAACCGTTTAATTGTGTTATATTTTATTCTTGTATGCTTTCTTTTCTGCAATGTAATTTAGGACAAAGTTGCTATTGAAACAATTATCAATTGTTTAATTTCAAAGATGTTTGAAATGACGTTTTCATTTTGCTTTTAGGCAATTGGTTTCGATAATCTAGCGGTCTCTTGATGTTTCTGTATCTCAATTATGTCTAGTTTCGGATCGTTTAAGCCGCAACCCCAAAATCGACCAATGCAGTAGATAATATTCTTTTTTATTTATTTCTTTTTTAACTACCTTTGCCTCATATTAAGAATTTTCAACAACAAACCCATTAAACCATGCGGGAATCGAAATCCCGACATGTTGCTTAGCAGCCAGTTGCCTAGTCACCGTACAGCCCAATAGTAATGCACTTCATAACATCAACCTACATGTCCTACATGCCCCACAAATAACTATGAGTTAGTACAAGCAAGAATTAAGAAAAGTAACATGATAACGACCCCTATCATACGCGGTAGAGACTATATCATCGTTTTCTGAGTAAGAAGTACCTTCAAATTCCAGTATTAGAGCAGTTCCGTTTCACAGCATAATAAAAGACAAAAGGTAGAATGTTTCTTATAACTGGAAATGACTGTGTGAGCGATTATCGAGAATTCTACGATACGGTATCTTATCGATTTGTGACACACAAATTGTTGTACGAAGCCGCGCTAACATAGCCAACGTTTATTACTACGATTGCGAATATTTACACAAGTTTTCACTTTTATTCGCAATAATAATAATAAAGGGCGATGTCGTATTGTATGTGTCGTACAAGTTTGTCCGTGATAAAACAATTGTTAATTGAAAATTCTGTATTGCCAAGCTGCTGCTAATCATAGGTACCTAATTGTTGCGCGGATTTGCGGACGGCGAGTAAGGGTAGCTCGCCGCCCGACCAGAACCAGACCCGAGTGTACGGCGCGTTGCGTTCCGCGCGCGCCTCAAAAGCCAAATTTAATAAGCCTAGAGCAGGAGAAGGAACGGGGGGTTTTTAGTCAGTAAGAGTCTGACACTCCCTCTTGCCTCGCCCTGGGCGGGAGAAGTCATTAGATGATTTTCAACTCACAAAAAAGGGTACTTACCTAATTGTTCGCGTTTATTATCAGCCTCGTAAAAAATTACCAAACAATTAAAATATATTAGCATAACGATACCCTCTTAGAATTGTGTGAGTATTTGCGTACAGATTAAATTTTTATGGTACTTTTGTACTTTTAATAGGAATGTTTAGGAATTTACTTAAACCAATAGTGAATCAATAGATGTTTTTAAAATAAGAACATACGAAACAATCGTTCTAATTTTAAAAACAACATGTAAGCGTCGTTTGTGCTTCTCATGAAAAAAACTTGGCAAGTACCAATGAGACGTTTTCCGAGTTTTATGTATTTTTCTATGATTATTTAGACACACCATTGACATACGGTGAAGGTAAACATCGTGCGGCAAATTGGACTTATAACTTCAAAACTTGGAAACTTGGACTTATAATTTCAAATAATAAGTTTGAAATCGCCAATCCATCTTGAGCAAGCGTGGTGATTAATACTCAAACCTTCATGTGAGAAGAGACCTTTGCTCAACAGTGGGCACTTATAGGCTGATAAAGTCATGATGTGATAACCGTCAACCGGATACAAAGACAAAAAAATATAACAACACACATAAATAAATTGTATCAGAGAATGATCGTCATTTGGATTCGTCTGAATCTTCTTGATAACAGTGACTCAGTGGATAACCACGCAACAGTAGCACCTACTGATTAATTCCCATCGGAAGTGGTGATAAACAGAATAACAGGAAATACTAGCTACTAATGAGTAACAATGTTTGAACATAGAATAGGAAGTTGTTTCTTAGACATAGAGTTTAGTCATAAAAAGTTTTCAATCTTATCCAAGAGGATTTATGGTTCAACGGCTTTTAATTTTGTGGGAAGAATATTTTAAGAATATCATGGCTAATTGTTATGTAGAAGAGATCGGTTTGTGAAATAACTTGCTGGGATAAAGATACAGTAAAGATGAAGGAATTATTACTATCAAATCCGTTGCGTAGTTTTAAAGAGTTAAGCATACATAGTAATATAGGGAACACAGAAAGCGACTTTGTTTTAGACTATGTAGTGACGATCTGGATGAATCTAATCTCTAACAAAAAAATAATAATATTGGGTGCATTTATCACGAGAATGGTAAAGGGATCAATGATAGACGTTTTTCATAAGAGAGAAACCAAAACTATAGAAAACATTCTCATAAAAGTCGTTTACATTACATTTTAATTTCTTTAAAAAAAATCTACTTTTCTTTCTCAGGTGTTGAACATAGTAATTCTGGTTCTTTACCGAACTGGTTACAATGGGGAGTTCTTGGGAGTGGGAGGTACGTGGAACTTGAATGAGGAGAAGAATCCAGATGCTGAGATCGTGGCTTCTGGAGTCATCGTGGGCTACCTCATATACACACTTGTACAAATGATCACATTCCTGTTTGGTACCACTGAGCATAAAAGGTATGTTATTGTTTGATTTTTTGAAGCCTTAGTTCCCTTACATAGCTCTTGCACGCAGTAGATATTATGCTCTTTTTAACCAACTACGGCAATTGCTTTACCGGACGAAGGACGGTCAAAGTTCGACAGGAGATAGGTGTATGTAACGTGTAACTACGCCTTACACTATTCTGAAAATCTTGTTTTATTATTTTTCAAATCCGTTTTTGTCGTACTTTTTTTTTTACTTTTCATTATTTATTTAAACTTGTATGTACTTGGAAGCATGTTTCCTTCATCATGAAATAGTTCTTAATATTTTCTGTTATTTGTGCCTTCCCTTTTTCTCTTTTTCTCTTTCTTTCTTATACATCACTTCACTTTCTTTCTTTCTCATCTTTTCACTGCTTAACATCAGGTGGGATCGCAGTCAAGCACTGGTTTATTGCAAGTAAAAAAAAAAAAAAACCTAAAAAGCGATCTGCCCCGGCTTCGCACGGATGCAATGCTGATACTAAATTTCTCAATATTTAATGGTTGTGATTATACACAAAACTTCCTCTTCAATCACTCTTTCTATTAAAAAACCGCATAAAGGTCCGTTGCGTAGGTTTAAAGTTTTAAACATACATATAGATATAGGGCCAGAGATCCCGACTTTGTTTTATACTATGTAGTGATTTTAAGTACATCAATTGAGACCCAAGTCGCGGGGAGCCAATGGTTGCAAGTGGCAACTTGTCTTTCGACTTTCGGCTGATGTTGATGACGATGAAACAAGACTTTTTTAAAAACTAGAAAAATAAGGCGATAAAAATGTTTGATAACGAAATCAACAAACACGTGCCACAAATACATCCAACTCAATTTTTTTTCTTGTTTTGTATGGTGCTAATCACCTTCTAATAATTTCCAGGGCAATGTCAGAGATAGTGATGAACTTCGTGGGTGTGTTCATGTGGATCGCCGTGGGGGCCGTAGCTCTGCACTACTGGGGAGGTTACCAGGGAGAGCACCAATACCAGTTCGTGTTTGCTGAGAAACAGGTAAAGGCACTTCTTTTATTCATCTTTTTTTGAGAAGGGGATATCATCTTATTACTTCTCCTGCTCTAAAAGGAGTGTTGGACTCTTACTAACTTTAAACTACTCTGTTCCTTCTCTTGTAGTACATTACTGCGATGCACTTGCAACCCCTAAATGGATATAATGGTATAAGAGTCAAATGTTAATGTTACACCAGTTATTTTGTAAGTCTCATAATTGGGCTTCTGTCATGTCACCAGGCTTATTTTCAAATCCAAGGTATTTGTGGATTCTTCTATCACATCGAAAACATCTCCAACTTTTGAAGTTACGACAGAATTACTATTGACAATATATGTAAGTTTTAGGTCTAGAATATACATGATTGAAGGTACACAAGACCGTGAGATTAGGACTCCTTTCCTTCTTTCCAAGTCTAGACTTCCTAGAAGACTTCCTTTCCTTTTTTCCAAGACCAAGACTTCCTTTCCTTTTTTCCAAGTTTTATATTCTCTAACTATATTTAAATCGTTTTTAGAAACTCTACCTAGATTTAAGGACATAATTAATTACATCCGAGACGGTTATTATAACCAACTGCATAATTTTAAGCGGTCACAGTGATAATAATTAGTAAATTTTAGAAAATGTAATTAAGTCAACTTTCTCAAAACGAAATGATTTCACGAGGTAGCCAATGGAAATTGACGGGTGATGTCGAGGTCTTACCAAGATTTATGATTAAGATTTAAAATTATACTAACTTACCTCAATGCTTATTACATTTAATAACTGTTGAAATGTAATATATTGACTTTATTTGCTTTTTAGTCGGCAATTGTGGTAATTTGAAATCTAGTGATTTTTTTATGTGATAGGACGGCAAAGGTCCAGTACGCCCATGGACATCGGCAACAAAGGAGGACGAGTGCGTTGCTAACCTCTTGGGGATTAGGGTTTGGGAGATTTAGGGAATGGGAATTTGGACTTTTGAAATTTTCTTAGGAAACGGCATTTGCCATATATCTAGAAGTTAAAGACCAATTTATTGATGTTTTATTGTTTCTTTATTTCAGGTGGGTATTGCTGTCGGTGCCCTCTGCGTGATCAACGGTGCAGTGTATCTCTTAGACACGGCACTATCCGTCATACACTTCACAAAGGAGATGTAAACTTAGCACTTAATAAAAAAGAACTTAATTTTATTTTCTAATTTTAAGTATAATTAAGTGTTTTACGAACGATTCGAACCATTATTTTTATTCGAGTAATTGCAGTTAATAGTTTAAAAATCCTTTTATAATTCGATCTGAGGATTTAATATAATAAGGATTATGACAGTGATTATCAATAATATAAACTTTCCTTCACGAATATTTCTTGTCGAAGTGTTGTGTCGTTTTGGAATCCCGATTATGACAGTTCTGTATAAGCACCCGGTAACGCGCGTTGACGCTCGAATTCGCGCGTAAACGAACGATTTATTTTGGGCTAGAAAAGCCATTTCTTCATTTCGTAATAAATCTGTAACAATACATATTATGCTCTCGTGCAAAACATTTTTCTATAATATTTCCCACCTTCTCTGTAAGTTAGTTAATGTAGACCCTGTTTTATACATATAATTGAATATGATATGATATATAATTGATTATGTCAGTTATTTTTTTTAATTCTAGTAATCTTTTTGAAATAAACTAATTAATGTGAATTGTTATTTGTGTTTTATTTACCTTAATAAATTAGTTCGGTTTTGGTCATTTCTGGTAATTTACCAATATTGGATGGATGATAGGGAAATTTTGTTGATTGACGTGATCGGAATAGTAAATCGTCGAGTATCTATGTAACAACGCCTTCAATACCTTAATACCGTTTGAAATTATGGGGCACATACGTTCTAAATTCAAAAATTTAACATAGTGATTATTCAGAATTTGTAAAACTGGCTTTTAAAGTTATAAAAAAGTTTACCTATTACCTATAGACAATCATATACAAGAAATGTTTGAGGTCTCCTTTTGTCTACCTCATTTTTTATAACAGTTTCTTAAGTAAAAAAAAACATACTGAAGGATGACTGGCAGATAATGATTTTAAGCATTAATATGCAATTGTATGTAAAGAATAAATAAATAAATTATTTATATGTATAGTTTAGCAAATGTACATCGAGAATGTAAAGACCTACAGAACTGTCTAATAATATAAGTAAAAATGCATTCTAGAACTGCTAAAATAAAACCGTTAAATATTTTTAACGAGGTTAAGTGCCTACCTATACAATCTTTAAATGGTTATTCCCAGTGGGTTACCTACCAGGAAATACCATTTGGACATATGAATGATATAATAACAAACATTTTATGGACAGAGGAAAGAATATAACCTAACAATGCACCATCATTGATGACGTATGGATGTGTATGTCCATGGATAGTAGTCACCCACCACAGTCTAACTCAGAACTACGTATTTTACTATAAAATTTACAATAACAAATGTTTACACAAAGTACATCATCATTATCAGCCTATAAGTGCCCACTGCTGAGCAAAGGCCTCTTCTCAAACGGAGAAGGTTAGAGCATTAATCACCACGCTTGCTCAATGCGGGTTGGCGATTTCAAACTTATAATTAGAATTTATAAGTCCAGGTTTTCCTCACGATGTTTACCTTCACCGTATGTCAGTGGTGTCTAAATAATCATAGAAAGTACATATAATTCGGAAAAAGTCACATTGGTACTTGACAGGTTTCGAACCCACACCCTCATACACTAATTATGACGTACCTACTTTGTGTCATGATAATGATGACACAAAGTACGTCATAATTAGTATTATCCTTATTCCGTATTTATTAGGGAAGTACATTTCATAGCAAACTATGTTCATACCCTACAAAATGGAAATAAATTAAAAAAAAAACTTTTTTTATTTGCAAAAACTCTTTCACTTCAAATAAAAAGGTCTTATACAATATCTATATTTGGTACATTTGACTTTGGGCCCTTTTTTATAATAGAACTAGCTTCCTCCGCGCGGTTTCATTCGCTGCTCGGCTCCTACAAATCGTAGCGTGATGTTTTATAGCCTATAGCGTTCCTCAATAAATGGACTAACAAACACAAAAATATTATTCAATTCGAACCAATAGTTCTGGAGCTTAGCGCGTTCAAACAAACAAACAAAGTCTCCAACTTTATAATATTAGTATACTTAGATAGATTTGTATTAAAAAGGTCTAATATCTCAAGTTATTTGTTCAAAAGATTATCTAGGTTTGACAGGAAATATCAGGTATACAAGCATGGGATAAGTGTCCGGGGTCAATGCAGTCAAATTAGTGGTCGGGGCTAAGGCCACAGGTTAAGTATAATCAGCCTGTTGTTGGGAACAACTGAGTCACTGGCGTGATGAAGTTTGGATTAGTCTTCTATTCCTCGCATAGCAAACTTCACGACAACTAGGCAGAAAGCAAACTGTTGCTTTACTAGAAAAAAAAAAAAAAAATTGACGCATAAAATTTTAATTCGAAATTAGAACAGCGCGCGCTTTTTTGACATTACATTATTTGTGTAATTTATTTTTAAAAGTTACGCACTTATTTTGAATTAAATAACAGTAATCGATAAAACCTAAAAGTGGATCATCTGTACGAGAACTGGGTAACCATAGCGCCGGATTCAAGAGAATTTTTGTGCGAAGTCGACGTAGAAACCGCCAAAATTGCGCCATTAACGGATACCGTAAGTAAAACGATATTATTTAGATTTTAGTAACACAAAAGTATTAATCAATGTGAAGAACCGTCATACACTAAAAGTACTGGCAGTTATCACATTATAAAACGTGCACATACATTCGAACAAAACCGTAACCTCGAAACTTAAACATATACTTACAAATAATACAAATATTAATTTTCAGTATCCATTGCGACATTAGTACAGATTCTACTCACGGTACATCTGAACATTAATAAATGAGCCAGCAATGGATATCGAATTAAGTGTAACAGTCGTATAGGACTTCGAGTAAAAATGTAAGGCGTGTCACGCATTAGCCGCGTCAACGCACCCGCTGTATGGTGCATTGTTAAGGTGCACACGAAATGAGTACAAACCCAATGCATAGTGATGCTACTAATATTAAAGAAAAATATATATTTATTTTTTATTGGGACGCAAACGAGTAAGCTAATCCCTGATGGTAAGCAATTAGCGCCAACCATGGACACGTCAGCAACACCAGGGAAGTTATAAGTGCGTTGTTTCCCTTTCAAGGAGGTATGGTGTTCCAAAAGTTCTAAGATGATGTCAACCTAGAACTCTTATACCATACATGGGTAGGTACATTGGGCGCACTCCAATACACACAGCATCAATAATAAGTCTTTACATAGTGAAATTATTAACCAAAGCATTTTGACAGTTTAAAATGTATGTATATCTACGTATGCATTTCTTTGTAAATAGCTCGCGAATCTTCTTATATCCCTATGTTTTACCATTAGGCCATTAAAGATAAGATATAGAACGAAATAAGTATGAACTATTTGCACATAACTTCATGGTGTACTTATTAATAAGCGATAAAACACTTCTACATATTTAATTCCTAAACATCATTGACTAGCTACTCCCGCGCGGTTTCACCCGCTGCTTGGCTCCACTTGATCGTAGCGTGATGTTTTATAGCCTATAGCACTCAGGAACATTGTAGCTATCTATCAGTGAAAGAATTTTGGCAATCCGACCAGCGGTTCCAAAGATTACCAACTACATACAAACATACTTACATCTTTATAATATTAGTATAGATATAGATAGTATAGATAAAACACTTCTACATATTTAATTCCTAAACATCGTTGATAAATATTAATATTATGACTGAATTTATTAATTTTGACATGAATTATGAAGAAAACAAAATGGTGTCTATGCCCAACACTAGTGTTTAGAATAAAACGTGAGTTATTAAAACAATTAATTACAACACATGCATGAGCTTATGAGTTATAAAAAGCTTTCAATTATGTACATAGCTAGCTGTTTGTAGAGGTTATAAATACGAGTTTAAACCAAAATATAATAAGTATGGGAGAGCCATGCTTCAGGCACGAATGGGTCGGCTCGACCGGAGTGATACCACGGCCTCATAGAAAACTGGCATAAAACAGCGTTGTGTTTCGCCGTGTGAGTGAGGTTACCGGAGGCCCAACTCTTCCCCTCCCCCAATCCCTAAATCTCCAAATCCCTAATCCCCAAAAGATTGGCAACGCACTCGTATAACTTCTTTGTTGCGGGTGTCTATGGGCAGCGCTGATTGTGATGCTGATTATGATATTATATATAATTTTTAATTTCAATTGCGTGTAATTTCTTAATTAAAAATTTTGATTATTAGCCTATTTTGCCCGCTCAGGGATCGAAATTGAAGTTTTTTTTTCTTATTTGTACTTTACTTAAATGAATGATAATAATTCGGCAAACTCGACAGTGACAAGCCAACCTAGTTTCGTCACTAACTGTACTGTGAGTGACATTACTGAGGCATGCGCGTGCGCATCTAACTGTAGCCAAAGGGCCGGGTCATTAGCATTAAAGGTAGGTGTCGTTACCTAGTTTCTTATCTATTGTTTTGTGAGGCTCATAAACTTATGACAGAGTAGATTATACACACCATTTATGAATAAGTACTCATCATATGTATATGTAGAGAATGGGATAGCTAGCCAGTTAGATTGATACCACAGTCTCACAGAAGACTAGTGGAAAACAACTCTTATTTAACCAGAATAAGTGAGGTTACCAAAGGTCCAAAGGTCCAATTCTCCCTGCCTACAATCCTAAATCCCCAAAATTCCCCTTGTGAATCCTCAAACGCTTTAATCCAATATATTCATAAGTAAAAAAATATTGGCTTGACGCTCATAAAGTTAGTTAATGTCAAATTGCTATGCATTCTGTGACCTGATGCAGAAAGAAGTGATTTGAAATACTAGTCATAATTAATGATTAAGTACTCATGTGGGATATTCCTGGGACCTAAAAGTCTTCTAAAGTACTAAAACCAAAACAAAATGCGCAGTCATTACGAATCAACACTTTATACGACCAACGTAGGTTCGTACTATGAATTACTGTTGTAAACATTCCTATAGGTATCGTTTTTCCGTTCAATATTATAGTGGGAAGCGTAATAAGCATTAATGTAAATTATAAGGGGGAAGTCTTAGGAGTAAACACATTATTATGTTAAGTAAATGTCTTTTTTTATCATCTTTAATTAAGAGCTTTTACGCGATCTGACTTTTTAAGTTAAATAAAAATGTTAATTTTTATATCTTCTAAAGAATGTATAAATGAGCAGTGTGTATTTAAGTTTGTGTGGAAACTTAAAATTGAGTCTCTCTATCTTACTAAAGTCTTTTTCGTAAATATACTGAATTAAGTTGTTGATCATATTCAAATCTAGCAATTTTCATTAAAATTACCTCAGTACTTTCCAAAATTTTTCCACTTGTTAGTCTGCATGGAAATCAGCGCTGCTTAAACGGTCTTAATAAATACCTAGTCTGTTGAAGAGTCCAAAATCAGACATCTTCTATGGTTTCGCTTTCTTGATTATTCAGACTTTCGTACCTACTTAACATAGCAAAATGCCGAAAAGTGTAAGAAAAAAGGCTCAGTATTGCCCATTCAAAGTCAAATCATTTATTTAAAAAAGATCACTATAGGCACTCATATACCCTATATCACTATAGTTCAAATTTGTGTGTCAGCCTGTCGGTCTGTCCTCTACTGAACCTATTTGCTCGGTATTGGAACAAAAGTTCAAGATTACATATTTTATTGAATAATTACCATAAAGTATCGATGCAATAAGCACGTGCATTGTGCAATATTTAAGCTCAACGCATCGAGCGATCACGCGAGAACCTATGTAACGATGTTATGTATACCTAACAGCCAGTTTCACTACACAATTATGCGTGGCTGTGGTTCCTCTATTGTTTTTAATATCACATGAGAATACCCACAGAGTATAACAGTACCTTCTTTCACACAGTCGCTTCTGTCAATGTCAATGTGAGATACCTAGTTAACGTAAACAAACGCATGAATAATTAACCATGTATAAAATAAAAATCATTTCCGTGATCCCTCTCATACCGGTGCAGTCCCGAAATCTGACAATACTAATGTGACGTTTCCCGAGTCATATGTACTTTTTATTTGGACACCACTGATAAACGATGCAAATCCTATAAGTTTGAATTCGCTAATCCACCTTGAGCAAGTGCGGTTAATAAGGCTCAAACTTTGGCCGTGTGAGAAGACTTTCTCAAGTCTTTGCTCAGTATTACAACTTAATAACTTGAAAGTGTATGAGGACATGCATACATATTTATAGGTAATGGTGTCGTTTCTTATTGCATAGGGCTCAAAGTGTGATGGTACTAGGTACTTACAATATTTTTTTTATTATGGACTTTGATAAAATATTGCATTAACCAATTGTAATACTAATAGTGTTTCGCATAGATCAGTGCTTCCGCGGCACATCTCGGCTCTCACGGCTTAGGAACTCGACCAGTTTCAAGCCACACTTAGAGCTCATATTCATGACATGAGTAACATTGTGCAACACACGACATCGTAGTGAACTTTGAGTTTATGATCAAAGAGTTCACGTTTGTGAATAAACCATTAAACAAAAAAATAGATGTGCGTACTCAAGAACACGAAGAAAATTTAATTCCCAAAACCAGCTGGTCAGGGGTTAGCTGCAACAGCACTTATATTGAACATATCGTGTGTAAAGCTATCATAATCGTAACATAGTTACAACAAAATTACGCCAGTAAATTGTTAAGTAATCGTATATGCATTTTTTATATCCCTACAACTACTACTTGGTCCACCTGATCTCATAATAAGCACTTAGAGCTTCATTGATCACTCCAAACGGGATTCAACTACGTACATATTAATTTAAAACAGGTACAATAACGGTAGATACATTCTTTAAGAGCATTAGAATTGAACTCGTTTAAGTAATAAATACTTAAATATACTTAGTTAGGTTAATTATTCTAAGGTTAGCTATTTAAAAAAACCAACGTATTAGGCACTCAATTTGGATGATTCAGTTCAAGGAGCTACAAACAACCTAGAATTGTATGCATTTAACAACAACTTTAAACTAAAGATATGTTTTTTTTAGTAAGTAATCGGCCTCCTTTTAAATAACAAAACCAAAGAATAGAGTACCTACACATAAAAACTTTAATGCCTGCCGTACAAGGATATTGACATAACCTACAATTTTACACCAGTAATTACAACCTGCGTCAACATTAGACACAAGGGATTTTGTATACATAATCTGGTGTAGCTTGTAATAAAAGAGGACGTTCTGTGTCATTTGAACAAATAGGTCACTGTAACAACAGCCTGGGAACGCACCCCTTGTCGCGGGCACCTTGGCGCCAAAACTGGCGTCAACATGGCGCCCGACGCCGCCAACTTGGCGAGATACTGTTCTATTTCATGCATTTACGGGATAATATAAATGTTACTACAAGATTTCTCCTTTGAAATTAACATTGGAATACACGAATAAGGGTTGTGTTTAGTCTGTTGAGATCGATTCCAAACCAAAACATAGTCTAGACGTTACTGACCTAAGTCTTATCTACAACTTTGCTACGATTGTTTAAGAAACCAAATTCTTAAAATTCCTCTGCAATTATGCAACGTCAGTACACACACAGTTCGAATATGCCAAAAATTTGAATTATCGTCGGCTCTGTTGCTTGTTCATAAGTATTGGTCTCAAAACAATAGCCCATACTGGCGACGGACGTCTAACAACATTAGCCAAGAACGCGACAAATACTCATTGTTCATATTGCTCACTCTTGGCTGTACCCATAAGAGACGTGGTTATGGTCTAATATTTCATTTATATGCAGCATGCAAAAAGATTTCAACTTAAAACAATATCCATGTTAAGGAAACCCGAGGTCTTATTTCGTTGAAATGACGTTTCCTTCCATAACTGCTTTATTTTCGTTTCAAGCAACTATCATAAAAAATTAAGCGTAATTTATTATTTTTTTGTCTTTATTTTAAATGCATCAATTATACAATTCGATTATCGTAGCTAGAGGTTTTGGATGAGGTATTTACACATAATTAGATATATTATTATTTGTTCATGTAAGTCAATTACTAATATTAGTCTAAGCATACAGATCATAGCTACAATAATACATATTAGCCGCTTCAACTTAATTAACAATCTCTATATAATAACGTTATATTTCACGGTTAGTCACATTCGTTTTTCCATTGTAGGTAGATAGATCTGTAACGCGTAATTGTTGAATACAATGTCGGCCTTGCGTCTGCGCAGTTTTCATGGTTGCTGCGAAGGTTAATCCTTGTTACTACTGACATTTGTGTCAGTTATTAATTAGATGTCTAGTAGAGGGTTGACATGAAAAAGAACTAATTATGATTTAGTTAATTGTTCTAGTTACCGAAATTAATCTCCATAGCAAATGTAGGTTAAAGTGAGGCTTTTTTGTGGGGGGAAATTATCCAATAAGGTCTCTCGCCCAGGGTAAGCCGAGAGGGAGTGTCAGACTCTTACTGACTAAATATCCCCCTGTTTTTTCTCCTACTTTAGGCCGAGGCCGCGGTACCTTATTACCTAACCCCGCAACCCCGACTGAACATCGGCCCTGTAGGGTGGTCTAAAGGTATAGTGAGGTTATGTTGTATTATTTTACAACGTCCACCGTAAACGTTGGCGAAATTAACATCTTTAAATTTCGATTGATTTTCCTTAAAAATTGTAAACTTCACCAACTTGTTCCGATTAATCAAACCTATAAAAACCTATAGAATGGAACCACGACTCCCATGAAACAGCCCTTGAATCACGTAGGTTAAATGACTAATGGTGTCTTAAAACATTATTATTCTACAATTAATTAGTCATATATTCTGACGAAATAAATGACAATTATTATGAATAATACTCTCCTGTAAACAAGATTTCAGTATTGACGTCTGAAAAACGGGAAAATGTTATGAAAATTATTTTATTTATTATTCATACTGAGTGGTACCTACGTGCGTGGGTAAGATGGTAGGTTGCTCATTAAGCACCAAACGCCATTGCTTATATTTTTCCAAATATTGGTCATCATTCCTGATTACAGGGTAACTGAAGTAATTCTTGCATGACCCATAGTTTAATTATAAAAATCGTCTTTGATTAATGAAAAGGTAC